AGCCCAATCTGTCAGATCTAGCCGAATTCTGCTAGAAAGTGGTCACAACAGAAAAATCGCATATAATGTGACGTCACGTGACTCATGATGATGTCATGATGACGTCAATGTTGGGCGCACAACTTCAGATGCTGGTCTAAGTGTGTGCCAATTATAAAGGCAATCGGAATGATTTTACTGGCCAAAGTGCCGGTAACAGAAAACGTGTACAAATGCTATGGGCAAAATGACTGAAAAAGAATTATACTTGAAGCATTAAAAGCAAGGAAATATACGCGATTGTGTAGTTAAGAATTCCTGTATACATTGTGGTTATATTACTGTCTGGAATATTTGATTATTTAAAAATGACTTTACTGACCTTTAATAGACTTCTCTGAATCCGAATAATACCTGCTTTTGTCATTTTAGAAAGATTTACAAGGTGGAAAATGCAGATTTCTTACGCGGGTTACGTTTTTGCTGCGTCAAAACCTTCATGGGAAAGGTATGCCCCTATTGAAAGATTGAATGAAAAAAATCCTGGCGAGCTTAATCAACTTTGCCACCATTGTCATGGCTGAGGTTATTGCTTTCGGGTCAAAGTTTCCATCATGGCGGAAATGTCATGATTTTGGATACCTTGAGAGAAATATCTGCACTGCCTGAAGATTTAGAAAATACCTCCTCTTGATATTTTAGAGTGTTTGTGCTAGACTTTCGAAGCGCCGCGCTTAGCCGCGGCAAAACTAGAAACGAACAAAACGAAGGAGATATTTGTAAAGCAAGCATAATGTATAGCGCAGCGGCGCAATTTCATCGTCGTAGAACACTGCTGGCTGGAGTAGGGGGTGCTGAAGCATATTCCAGCACCCCAATCAAAAAAGTTGGGGGTGCTGCAGTATCCACAGCACCCCCGTTCCCGGGGGCTTGAAACTTGATTGTTATTATTCAGAAATTAATCCATGCTTCCAGAAGAAGCATTAGGCTATGCCCATACGGGTGATTATGGAAAATAACATGGTCAGTAAAAACCGATTGGCTAGAGTTTTTTTTATGGAATTCGGCTTAGTGGCCCAAGTGCCATTTTGTTACATATTTTCAGAAGCATCTCAAAGTAACAGAAAATTAGTGGGAGAAAAACACCTTCCTTCATATTATTAAATGTTCCACAAAATTGAGCTTAAATACATTAACTATTTGTTATTCAAAAACAGCTTCATCGTGTGTACCGGTACTTAACGAAAAGTTAAATCCACAAATGTGTGCGACTGCAAGATGAAATAACTATTGACGTTTAAAAAAAACCGAATCGATGTGATAAAAACCTAATGACTATGACTAATAAACACATAAATCTCATATTGGGTATAAACTTCTCTAAGTCATAGATGCAATTTGTATAATTATATGTTTGAGTACTATTAGGTTGACATTACATTGCTTTTTAATTGTTTTTGTTGTTGTGAAGACTATTGTTTTGTACTGCGGAAAAGAAATTGTATGAATGTTCAATCAACCAACCAAGAGAAAAGTAAATTAGAGCATACTTTGATCATAGCCCAATGCTTTGATTAATCCCAGCTTAATTCCTTTGATTCACCCTTTCAACAAAGGGACGGATTTCAATTTAACGTTGAGAGCTTACTTTGATTAGCCCTCTCAATATTAGGGTCGATTTCTGTTGTCAGTTTAGAGCACTCTTTGGTTCACCCTCTCAATAAGGTGCGGATTTCTGTGGACAACTTAGAGGTAAATTCACCGTCCAAGTTAAGGTGGCGGATTTCTGATGACAATTTAACTTAGGAGTATACTTTGATTCGCCCTCCAAAAATTGGGGGCGGATTTTTAAAGTTAGGGGGCCTATATTGATTCGCCCTCCCAATAAGGGTGCACATTTCTGTTGACAATATAAAGCTCATTTTGACTATCCCCCAATTTAGCAGTTAAACATATCCCGAAACAAAGTCCTTTAAAGGCCTAAATGAATATGAAATTTAATTTTTGGGGTTTGCCTCCACTTTTTTTTTACTCACCCATTAATAGCATTCGGTTGGCCAGTTAAAGTGTTCAGACAAGCACGCGAAAAATAATCCCAAAGTTCATATAATTTCCCGTCAAAGTCGTCTCGATCTCGATTATATTTTCCTAACCAATGCTAACCATGATCGCTATATCCATGCTCTCCATGCTCCAAGCATCCAAGAATGCTCCAAGTAAAATTGTTCCTTGCTCTATGCTTCAGCCACCTGAATCACACAGCTGCATTGTACATACAGAATGTACATGCTATCCTACATGTTGTGCAGAAGTGATTACATAATAGCATCATATGGATGGTCACACACTGGCATCCGATAACACCTATACTGACCATGACCTGCAAGTCATTTCTCTTAGCTAGTAGATCAGTTACAGCTGACCACAAGTAGGCTCTTTATGACCATGTTCAGACACAGTGATAGCTAAATCAGTAAAAGTTAAAACGGTCGCTCACCATGGGAGGCCCGTCGTAAAAATAAAACTACCGAACGTCCAGACATCGTTTTAAGTATAGCAAGTTCAACTCGAAGCAGTTTATCTCAATTTCTAAGGTCACGTAGAACATCCGCCTCCGTAAAAACCGCGCGCTAAAAAGAGCCTTAACTCTTCCATTTTTACTGAGTTCGCTACACGTGGTCTGAGCCCCTCACCGTGTGATGTGTGTTGCCATGCCGTGTTTGACATCGCAGCCTTGGCTGGTCATGTAGCGTGGCACACGGTAAACATGACGACAGTCACTAGTCCACCGCAGCGATTTCCCGAGTTTTTTTGGAAGTATCGTACATCGGCCTTAGGCCTACACCATTTTGTGATTACATTTTGGGGGCTATTTTCTGTGCCTTTCTTGGTGCAAAAAGACGTAAAAAAAGGTTCAAAAAAGTTGTTCAAAAACGTGAAGATACACGTGATATCAACGTTGCATCATTGACCAATCAACGCCAAGGTTTTCCTGGCAGTTGAATATATTAAAGTATTATGATAATTACGCTCCAGTTTAATAGCGGCTGTTGCGTTGGCATCTACGTGTTTTGTCATCGCGCATGCATCGTGTGTGCGAGTGAGCACGATGTGAAACTCGGACCATTTGGTCAGAAAACTTGCGGAAATTGGACTTGGAAGTTGGATTTGTTTTCATGAATGGCTAACGGTAGGAGCATTAGGAAATTCATGGGTGCTTTTTGCCCATGGTACGTTGTTTGTTAATACAAAAGCGCGCCACGGAGAAGGCGTTACGTAACTCCAGGTCACTGTGCTGGCTAAAACGGGCAGCGTTTTAGCTAAAACCGTTCAGACATCGTACTAGGAGATAAACTTGTTCAGGTTATCCGCTAAACCCTCCCTCCGAGGGGGTTTAAGTTGCCGTTTTATCTCGATTTGAACTCGATTCGGTCAAAATAAAAAAGCCTTCAGACATTGTTTTAGCAAGAAAGTTACACTGAATCGAGTTCAACCGGTGTTTTAAGGGAATTTAAAATGGTGTCTGAACGACCCCTATCGGTCTAAACATGCTAAAACATCAGGTAATCCGCTGCAGACACTACATGCTTCATTAGGCTCGGGGGGGATCCAGACTGCCATTTGCCGGGGGGGGGGGGGGGGCTAGAATTGTAATGAAGGGTCCAGGACCTGGGAGCGCGGAGCACGAAGCCCTTACGGCGTGGGGTCGGGGGCCCGCTTAAGGGCCCTGGAAAAATTTGGATTATAGATGCTCTGTGGTGCAATTGAAGGCGATTCCTTGCCACTTTCCACCGTTTAGAAACATCGAAAATTCAATTTAAATTTGTTATTTTTTTGTTCTTTATAAAGTTTGTTATGTACTCAAAGTTGAGAACCATGTTCCATGTTCGTATTTTATCACAACTTTTTATTTTGGAATGGGATTCAGGCCACTTGTTATCCGAGCCTCAGCCATTCGCTGCTGAAGGTACAAAAAAGGTTGGGCACTGCTAGGGTGAAATAATAGGGGAAATTTGGCCGGAGGACTAATGCGAGCGCGGAGTGCGAAGCCCTTACGGCGTGGGGTCCTGGAAATTTTGGATCGTAGATGCTCTGTGGTGCAGTCTGAGGCGTTTCCTGGCCACTTTCCAATGATTCTTTGTTAGCAGAAGTTTTTTAAATTATGAGGGGATATTTTGTTTCATTTGTTTCAAATGCATATAGGCCTATGTACTCTTGCTCCTATGAATTTCTTCTGTATTCAAAGCCTAAAGTTGAGAACATGCACATAATTTGTAATTGTTCCAAGCTCGATCACATAACTGACATGAATTTAAATATTTCATTACAGCCTGGGTGCATATTTGGGGAGTGTGTCAAACTGGCATGAAACGTATCAGAAAAATATTTTAATAGAATCTGAAGTGGCCATTGTTTGATTTTGTTTAGTCACCAAGCCCGGAGCGTGAAAACGGTTCGACTTCATACGCATTGTACGCGGCAGTTGTCCGCGAGTCTCATGGACGTATGACGCGCTAAAAAATACGCGAAATGAGACTCCTCTACAGTTTGTTTTACCCATATAGCTATATCTAAATTTAATATAGCTCTATGGTTTTACCCAACCTCGATCCCCATGGGTACGATCGTGCTGCGCCATGTTGTTTCCCATCATGCCTTGCGCGATCTTGGAACGTGCACGCGCCCATGGAGCCCATGGAGTGGGTTTTACCTTGGTTTTATCCCCGTACCATGCGGTCATCATAACCGCGCATCAATTCTTAGGAGGTTTGTGAAAATTGCCACGCCTTTTGAACGTGTGGCCAGTCGGATCACCGTCCGTTTTTCACCGATAGTATACATTTTACAATATTTGCCGGGGGGGGGGGGGCGTGCGCCCCCTGCGCCCCCCGCTGGATCCGCCAATGAGGCTTGAACCTCAGAAACTGGGGTTTCGAGAAAATGCATTAGATTGGGCTCAGTTCTGTAATGGTATGTTTTTCCATAGCTTGGAAAATTGGAAAACATCCCAAGCATCTTACCAGCAAAGAGTTCAAAGACGTCAATCCTGTGAACAAGAGCAGTCCTGTAAGTGACGGTTTGACCATGGAAGTGGACAGAGTGGACATCAACCTCATCCCCAATGCCCAGCAGGTACCATTCCACTGTGTCATCTTTGGACATGTCAAGGTGATGGAGGTTGTGGTACAGGAAACCGTTGATTCCTAAATTGAGGGTTGAAAGATTTTAAAAAAGTTTAGAAAAGCAAATCCACTTAGTTCAAAATTTGAAGCTGATTTTATCTGCTACTTCTAAAGGATGGATTTTTTTGGTTTGTTCAAAATCTCATTGGTCATGACTCATCTAAATGCTGAGAAATAAGCAAAATGTCATTTACAAAGTTACTTTTAGGTGTGCTTCACCAAAGAGCAGCAATTCAAATTCAGGAACACAGGTCACAACTAGTGGATTGTCTAGTGGTGCATCTTAAATGTGTCTTGGGATGAACACCTAAATAGCGATAAAACATGTTTAGCAGATTTCAAATCAGTAACCTGTATTTCAAGTGTACTCAATTATCCTTTGTCGGGAATGAATGAATGTGCTTTTGCAATATGCCATGTAAATTTGTTTTAAACTGTTTATCAAACCTAATGAACTCGAAATAGCAAGGGTATGATCATTTGTTGTACCGAGGGGGAACAAATACGTCTTGATCTCAATTTACTTCCTAACTTCGAACAAATTTAATTCCCATGCGATGACTTTCAATTATCAGTCATGGAGCATGTCCAATCAAGGACCATTAGTCGACTTATAATTCAGGATGTAAATAGTCCAACCACTCTGCATTCGAGTGAAGTTATTTGAACTCTGGTATTACTATGGAACCGGTAATCCCAAAAACATGCCCCTAGATGAAACCCTAGACTTGCCGTCACAGAACTGTTAAGAGGAAAATACATGTAGTGCTGAGTAAGCATATGTCTTTAGTAAAACCGTTACAAGACATTTACATCACTGAACTTTTTGGCTACCAAACTTTTTTTTGCTAAGCATATATTTTCTATGTTAAGCAAACTTTTGTGCTGGGCAGCTCTATGAGATTGGACCCTGGAAGGTCACAACATATACTTTTCATTTGCCCTGACCTCTCGACACAGTCATATTCTTACCATGCATCAGGTTGCTTTCCTCAAAATCCTCGTCTTCTCTATCCACTTCCTCAGGCTTCCCACAGAATTCTGCAATATTCTCGTCCAAGTACCAGCTCTTGTTCTCATCCGAGACGGTGAAGAGCAGGGAAAACTCCCGGTCCACGTCGCGCCGGCGACCGTCCTCTCCCAGAGTGCCTGGCCGACAGACTACCATCGGGCCAACGAGCCCAGAGTTGCTGTCATGCTCTTTGTCAATGTTGGAGTAGTAAGCATACACCACACAGTTTGGATCTGTGGCCGTCGGTCCAGCACGTTCAGGGACTCTCCAACGATAGATTTTGGTACTACCCGCTCCTAGACCTTCTTCATCTTCAAACACAGATAACATAATGACAGTCACTTCGCTGAAATTACAATTTTTTAAACAGGAAAACAGCCTAATAAAACTATCTTTCTGGACATACAATGACAAAAACTTACTCTTACAGCGGGGTAAAAAAAGTAAAAATTTCACATTTGTCAACCTAAATAATCAAAATTCCAGCAAATGTGTTTAGCAAAAAGGTGCCATTTTAAGGGGAATTGGAAGCATATGTGATTTGAACTACAAGCAATTTAACTGGAGTGTGTTGTTGATATTCCTTACCATCATTATCAACAGAGTTGTCAACTTCATGTACCAGCACACCATGTGGCTCTAGAGCATACCGCCGACTTGCCATATTCTTGAGCACGACGGCTACATTCTCGCCCACCTCCATACGCAACAAGGGACCCTGGACTCCCAGGTGAGCATCGGGGCCAGTACGTTCCTTCTCTGTGCTGAAAGTCTCATCTGTGAACTCTCTGTACAGGGCTTTTTTGTATCGTGAACCGATAGAATGGTCTCCTTGGTGAACAAACACATAGCCAGTACTTCAAAAATAAAAGCAAAAGACACGGGGAAAAAAATCAGAACAAAAACACAGCCTTTTATGGCAACAGCCAAAAACAAAACGCAGCAATCAAATCAACATTATATAGTATTTATACCAAGACTGCGGTGTTTCATCACAAACGGGAAAATGCGCGTTCACCTCGTCTTTAAGAGCGCTTGAGCGTGACACCACCACAGTAAAAGCTTCTAATTCTGGTCGCCGGATAAGTACCCCTTCAACGGCCAGAAAAGGAGAGTTGGGGAGACCTAGGGGTTTTTCAAAACCTTTGCTTCGTCTTTGGCTTTGCCTCCGACTTCTGAATCACTGAGATTCAAACTAAACAAAAATATTCCAAAGACGAAGCCGAAGACGAAGCCAAAGCCAGTCGTTTCAAAAACACTGCTAGACTGGTTCTCGGTCCATGTAATGCAGACTTTGAATTTTATCCATAGTTATGGGGGGGGGGGGCTGGGACTAGTCTGGAAGACCATTGAAAGAGAAATTGTAACGCATTCGCCGGCCAACGACGCCTGACTCTCACGCGAAGACCTACGGTTTAGCTTCGGCAATAAGTGGTGCATACTTCACACAACCATGTACCAGTACGTTAGCGCGGTGTGTCCTGTCCAGGCATGCTCTAAAAAGTGGTAAAAAGCGCCCTCTTTTGTTGGCGCACGGAGCCCATAGCTGGAAATGGCCAACTCTACCTTGAAGCACCTGTAATCAGACTTTATATTAGCCTTAGCAGTCTTCCCTGGCAATACCCTTGACAAAGACACTGACGAGTGTGGAAATCACCAACATATGTGTTCTAAAAGTCGCATGCTAAAATCCTATACCAGTCAATTTCTTTGTTCGCCACATTATGTTCACAAGCTTTATTCAGTACTTTGCACTTGTTAGCTCATTTTGTTCAAGATGACATCTCAAACCTACCTGTCTGGATCAGTCAAATTTTCACTTCGTTGCGCGTCCCATTTGACTGGTACATAGTCCCAATACCGTTCCACAATACCAATGTAGTAAGTCCGGTCTGCCCCTGGGCCATCTCCTGGTTCTGTTGTGTTCTCCACAGGCGTGACGGTAAAATATCCCTCCATGCCATTCAGGAAGTGAGAATTGGTCTCGCACTCAATTTCAAAAGTGCCTACAGAATATAGTAAACAGGTAAAAGGAATTTTTTTTCAAGATGTTGCAGAAACTGCAACCAATTTTCATCTCCACATGCACATGAGACAAGTCGATCTTAACAAAGTGCCTATACACAAAGACACTGCAGGTTCGTGTACACTGACATGAACAATTAATTCCACATACTTCACAACAAACCCAATCGAACCATTGAAGTGATCATTGTGTCCCACACACACTGGAACACACACGAGTGTTCACACATCATTTACCTTTCGTATAGGGTCCATCGGATAGTCCGTTGGTTCGATATTCCGAATTAAGGTTTATTGATCCGAAGGTTCGATAATCCAAACACACAAAAGTTCCCATAACTGGGGATTCATTAGTCCAAAAATGAAATATGGTTCATAAATCCGAACATTTGATGCGATATTCTGAAGGTTGTTTAAGTCCGAAGGTTCGATAATCCAAAGGTTCAACCGAAGTTTCGGTAGTCCGAATTTAGAATAAGGTTAATTTGTCTGAAGGTTCAATAGTTTGAACGAACACAAGGTTCAATTTTCCGAAGGATCATTATTCTGAAAGCACTCCAGGTTCAATAGTCCGAATTCACAATAGTTTTCCATGCTGTCGATTTGGACAATTGCACCTTATTGTCGAGTCAGACTATATCGAACCATATTGTCTATTCAGTCTGTCAAGGTTAATTAACGTTATTCTATTTTTTGACTAATGGGCCCTTCGGACCATTGAACCTTCAGACTATCAAACCTTCGGACTAACGAACCTTGGGACTAACAGACCTTCAACCTTTGGACAAACAACCCTTCAGACAAACAAACCTTAGGACAATCGGGCTGTCACCATTCACACAGTGTCCAGAGTTGTAGGTATTGCATATAGCAATTAGCGACTTTATTGACTCAAATGGCAGCTTCTAGTAACAACAAACTTATCGGATCAAAGTCATCACTAATTCCATCTGATTCACTCCTTGCACACAGTGAGTCAATATCTTTATATATCCCTGTTAAAGACAACAAGCTGATGAGTTACTGGCTCAACTGTCATCAGGGCATTGATTTATTTCTGAAAAGCAACTAATTCCATACTTAGAAGCAATATCTACCATGAATATCAGCATCCATGATCACGGTCTCTGACACACCGGGGAAGACCGACACCGATGCTTTGCGACCCGAATTATGTGTAAGGGTCTGACTCTGGAACGACACGGTGTGCTCATCACTGAACTTGCCCACTGCCATCAGATGCCATGAGACACGATCACCGACGGTCATCATCAGGCCAGGAAGATTGCCATAGGAGTAACCATTGATGGCTGAATAAATTAAACAAAGATTGTAGTATCAAATCCAACAATAACGTTTTTAACTTAATGTTTATGAATGTATACTGTAACAAGCAGTTTGTATGTCTCTGGCTACCAACGGCGCGCCAACCAAACCGAATTAATATAATGGCATTTACGTCATAAAGCAAAATTCCAAACTAAAGTTATAAAGATCAAAGTTAATTTCTTACAAGCCATCTGATTGGACGTCACAAAATCCTCATCATTCTTGTCAACTGTCCCAGGATTGGTCGAGTACTCATCAATACTTTCATCAATAAGCCAGCTAAGATTTTCATCAAATGTTGTAAAAAGAAGAAAGAACTCTTCGTCGACTCCAAGCTGTATGGAAAAAAGGTAGATGTCTGCAAAATTAAATGTCCAAAGGATTACATTAAAAGTAGTGAATTGGTTTCCACAGCACAGTACCTGGAGACTGGACAGACCACGTTGACTGGACAGACCACGTCGACTGGAGAGACCACCTCGATTGGAGAGACCACGTGAACTGGAGAGACCACTTTGACTGGAGAAGTGGAGAGACCACTTTGACTGGAGATACCAACTTTGACTGGAGATACCACTTTGACTGGAAAGACCATGTCAATCGGAGAGACCATGTCGACTAGAGAAACCACGTTGACTAGAGGGGCCACGTCAATTGGAGAGACCACGCAACTGCAGAGACCATGTCGACTGGAGAGACAACACCAACTGGAAAGACCACGTCGACTGGAGAGACCATGTTGACTGGAGAGACCACGTTGACTGGAGAGGCTACGTCGACCAGAAAGACCACGTTGACTTGAGAGACTACGTTGACTAGAAAGACCATGTCAACTCGAGAGACCAAGTCGGCTGGAGAGACAGCGTCAGCTGGAGAGACCACGTCAACTGGAGGGACAACGCCGACTGGAAAGACCACGTCGACTGGAGAGACCATGTCAACTGGAGAGACCATGTCAATTGGAGAGACCACGTCGACCGGAAAGACCACGTCGACTTGAGAGGCCACGTTGATCATGACTGGAGAGACCATGTCAAACTGGAGAGACCACGTCAGCTGGAGAGACCACACTGACTGGAGAGACCACTTTGACTGGAGAGACCATGCTGACTGGAGAGACCACGCCGACTGGAGGGACCACGACAACTGGAGAGACAACATCGACTGGAGAGACCACGTTGACTGGAGAGACCATGTACGTCGACTGGAGTGACCACTTTGACTGGACAGAACACTTCGATTGGAGTGACCACCTCAAATTGAGAGACCATGTCGACTGGAGAGACCACGTCAACTGGAGAGACCACGTCGACTTGAGAGACTACATTGACTGGAGAGACCATGTCAACTGGAGAGACCACGTCAGCTGGAGAGACCACGTTGACTGGAGAGACCATGTCAACTGGAGAGACCACGTCAGCTGGAAAGACCATGTCGACTGGAGAGACCATGTCAACTGGAGAGACCACGTCAACTGGAGAGACCACGTCAACTGGAAATACCACGTCGACTTGAGAGACCACGTCGACTGGAGAGACCATGTCAACTGGAGAGACCACGTCAACTGGAGAGACCATGTCAACTGGAAATACCACGTCGACTTGAGAGACCACGTTGACTGGAGAGACCATGTCAACTGGAGAGACCACGTCAGCTGGAAAGACCACGTCGACTGGAGAGACCACGTCGATTTGAGAGACCACGTTGACTGGAGAGACCATGTCAACTGGAGAGACCACGTCAGCTGGAGAGACCACGTTGACTGGAGAGACCATGTCAACTGGAGAGACCACGTCAGCTGGAGAGACCACGTCGACCGGAAAGACCACGTCGACTTGAGAGACTACGTTGACTGGAGAGACCATGTCAACTGGAAAGACCACGTCAGCTGGAGAGACCACGTTGACTGGAGAGACCATGTCAACTGGAGAGACCACGTCAGCTGGAAAGACCACGTCGACTGGAGAGACCATGTCAACTGGAGAGACCAGTCGTCAGCTGGAGAGACCACGTTGGCTGGAGAGACCACGTCAACTGGAGAGACCACGTCGACTGGAGAAACCAGGTCGACTGGAGTGCCCCGTCGACTAGAGAGACCACTTCAACTGGAGAGACCACTCTACTGGAGAGAACACTTTGACTGGGGAGACCACGTCGATTGGAGAGACAACATCGACTGGAGAGACCACGTTGCCTGGAGACTATGTCTACTGGAGAGACCACGTCGACTTGAGAGACCACGTTGATCATGACTGGAGAGACCATGTCAAACTGGAGAGACCACGTCAGCTGGAGAGACCACACTGACTGGAGAGACCACTTTGACTGGAGAGACCATTCTGACTCCAGTTGACGTGGTCTCTCCAGTCGACATGGTCTCTCAATTTGAGGTGGTCAATGTAGTCTCTCAAGTCGACGTGGTCTCTCCAGTTGACATGGTCTCTCCAGTCGACATGGTCTTTCCAGCTGACGTGGTCTCTCCAGTTGACATGGTCTCTCCAGTCAACGTGGTCTCTCCAGTCAACGTGGTCTCTCCAGCTGACGTGGTCTCTCCAGTTGACATGGTCTCTCCAGTCATGTCAACTGGATGATAGAGACCACGTCGACTGGAGAGACCACGTCGACTGGAAAGACCATGTCTACTGGAGAGACCACGTCGCCCAGAAAGACCATGTCGACTGGAGAGACAACGTCAACTGGAGAGACCACCATGTCAACTGGATCAAGACCACGTCGACTGGAGAGACCACATCGACTCGAGAGACCACATGGACTCGAGAGACCACGTCAACTGGAGAGACGTCAGCTGGAGAGAACATGTCGACTGGAGAGACCAAGTTGACTGGAGAGACCACTTCGACTGGAGAGACCACTTTGACTGGAGAGACCATGTTGATTGGAGAGACCACGTTGATTGAAGAGACCATGTCAACAAGAGACCACGTTGACTGGAGAGACCACGTAGACTAGAGAGACCACGTCGACTGGAGAGACCGCGTTGACTGTAGAGACTACGTCGACTGGAAAGACCATGTTGACTGGAGAGACCATGTGTCCGTGTTCAACGAAGCCCGCTACGACCAGCTACTGCAGATCTCACCTCACCGGAGGGCCTGGCATGACACTACCACAGGCATCCTGTGCTGTTGGTGAGCCAGCTGATGCTGCGGAAACAGACTCCCCTAAACTCACTTATGAATCTATTTAATTAGCTCTGCAACAATGCCAAGAAAATTGTGCTATCAAGTCATGTTGGCTTAGTATCAAAGTTTGCATCTCCCTGACACCGAAATGTTTCCATCAAAAGATCTCATTTTTCAAGGGGTGAAATTTAACATTTATTTTGAGTTTCCACATGCACTAACAGTACAAACTGTGTTTGGTAAATGATCAGTAAATATCAGATGTCAGACCGTCATGTCATCCTCTGGACTAACCTGTTTGCCTGTGGTGCTGTTGAGGCTTCCCTTCTTACAGACCAATAACGGGCCGACCAAACCAGCAAAGACGTCAGCTTCTGGGTCTACAGCCGACGTGTAGATCCAAGTAATGCAGTCTGGATCCAGGCTGGTAGGACCGACGGATTCAGGTATGGACCAGGAGTACGTGTAGGAAGAACCAGGGATGACCATCTCATCAAAGTGATCCGCCGCTGGGAAAGAGTTGCCACCACTGTGAGTAGTTTTTTTATTCTACAGATATTTAGTGTGAGGCCCGAGTGCTGAGACCGAGTGCGAGTCAAAAGTGAATGTACATTGTGGGTTTGGACGATTTGCAGCAGCAATGTGCATTCTTATAATTCATTGAACTCGAGATTATTTTGCTGGTTTCTTTTATATAGCTTTCAACTAAAGTGGATTTTGGATACAAAGTTGAGAAATGTAACTAAAAACCTTGGAGACTGAAATCAGGCTGTTTTTGAATAATTGCCCTACCTGATGTGCCATCATTGTATGCCTGTCCCTCGTTAGCTTTGTTGTATCTGACGCCATGGGGCTGCAGACTGATGTTGTGACTATTCAAGTTGTTCCTCAACGTCACCCTGATCTCGTCTCCAACCTCACCTCTGATAACTGGTCCCAGAATGCCCATGCTGTCATTGAAGGGGGAAGGACTACTGAACGTGGCATCAGTATAGCCCACAAACTTGGCTTTCTTGTACATCCCACCGATTCGATTGTCGTCCTTGGTGAAGAAGGGGTAGGAAGCGCTAGGTAAAACAAAATTGTCAACGTTTGTCATTGTTCATCCCCTGTAACTTGTCTAGATAATGACTCAAATGACTTGTGACGTGACCTGTGATTGTGACTTGCAATGGCCTTCACTACAACACTGGTTTAACCCAAGTTTGACTTTACACTTAGTACATGTAGGTCACAAATGAACCACTAGTTCATCAAACTGTGCAGATCGAGAGAGGGGTTACTGCCGGTGGGGGGGGGGGGGGGGGCTCTTTCAAGTGAAAAATTGCCTTTTTGAGAAAATTTGGGTCACCGTCTGGGGGGGGGGGGGGCACCTGTACCCCCCTTGATCCGCCACTGACAAACTTGTTCTATCTAATGTGTAATGCACCCTCTAGAGTTTGCTTCAGATACCTTGTTTCATCGGTGAAGCTAGTACCATCGCTGTGTGTCCTAGTGAAAGGTGCATAGTCCCAGTTAACTTCCTCTGCTGCTATGAAGTATTCCCGTCGGCCTGTGGACGGGTCGACTTCAGGCGGTTGCCTACAAGATTCCGTGGAGACGGTGTACAGAGCCTGTGCACCGTCTGTAAGAAAGATTTATACAGAAAATCTACTTGTCACTCACCCAACCAAGTGAGTCTGAAATCACCAGAGCTACTTTTGAGTTGATAAACAAATCTTTCACAGTGGACATGAGTAGGAACTGACAATTTTTTTCACCAACCTAATGTGAAAAAATCATCAGGATGTCAAACTGAGTAACATACCAAAATGTTTTCTTTTTTGTAAAAAGAGAACATAAAGTGAAAAATAGTTACAACTCCTGTTTTTGGATCTGGCCACAATTAATTCCTAATATCCCTAAATTGTGTGACATTACAGTACATGATGAGCTTTAAGCCCCCTAAAAGTTGAAAGTACAAGAATGCCAACTGGGTTCCTACACACTGGTAGATTTGCCAGATTTCATCTACAGTTTGATCCAAATTAAGCCACAATATATGGCGTGGGCTTCCTCAGTACATATTTTTGGATGCAACAAAATTGTTCAGTTCGATTTTTTTGAGAATAATGTCCTAGATTTTTTTGTAACATAATTGACAAATCCTGAAGAAATCCCAAGCACTCACCCTTGAAGTGGGTGCTGGAGGCGGAGGTTAGCAGCCAAGTTCCTTGGTTCTCAGCTACCATGATGGCACTCATCAAAACAGCTGGAGTGAGACTAAGGGAGTCTCGACGACGACCTTGATATTCCTGTCAAAAAACATGGGGGGAAAAGGAAAGAAAATAAGGGCAAAACTACCCAATAACTTGCATTGCTCAAGGACAAATGTTTAGGATTAAAAACAAAATCTGTAGGCTTGCTCCCCCTAGCCTAGTCTTGGTTCCTCTAACGCAGCTGGTCCCTTGCAAGCAGGGCAAAGCTGTGCGTTATAACTTAAAGGTATAGCTAGAGTAGATCATTTGTCATTTGTGCATTTTTTTTTGAAGCAAGTGCTCAAAATCTAAAGATGGGTTCTTAACAACCAGGGTTCGACCTTAACTTTTGTTTTTCACTAGCCAGCCGGGCTACAGAAACAGACTCTTTACTAGCCCGTAGGCATTTTCACTAGCCCGCATGTTTTTTCCTTTTATAGAGTGTCTCATAAACAACAATGGCCATACATGTACATGCAACATGTGTATCCTGAGGTAATTTGGTCATTGTTTTTAATAAACAGATCTAATAATTTAACTCTAAACAGTTCATAAAATTAGACACAAATTGATACAGGTTTGCTTTCTGAATTTAACAATCATCCTGTCCTTTGATCTTTGCCATAGCCCATTAATTTTTGACTCGCCAGCCGGGCTACTTAAGGAATAGTTTGACTAGCCCACCGCTGTTTGGACTAGCATTTGGCTAGCGGGCTACCGCAAAAGTTGAACCCTGTAACAACTAACCTGATGAAGTTTTAGCTTAGTGAATGCTGCATATTCCAAAAATACAGTATTCCAGGATCTTGGTTTTAATTCAAAAGTTGCCGAATCATGAATTGCGCCCGAAATCAGCATCCGGGACACGTTCTCATCATTCAGCCTTTTGCTGCGTGATGTCACTCACTAAACCGACGAATGATTGTGTCAACGCTTGTGCGCACCAGCCATTTATGGATTCGCCAAATTACAAACGAACTACGAACGAAAATTTCCAAAAACGCGCGTCACTTGATGCATCTTTGAAATTGCCTTCTTTTATTGTTTTCTTCAAAACGACAGCATACATGCCAGAAATAATAATTTCACAGGGAGTTTATTGCCATTACTATCTTTAAACCAAGGATGCTTTTCAACAATAATGTTGTCAGTTACTTTCTGGATAGCTGCAATTGTTATATCTTGTGCTTGGATACTGAAATTTCATTGGTCTAGAACGGCCACGTGTCTTCATAGTCTATAAAAATATATTTCTCACACAGTAAGTTACGGCAAACCATTTATATTTTTGACTTATTGGCACGATATAACAAAACAATTGTTGACTGCTCTGATATGGGATATGACATTTTTTAACCCCCTTGGGGCGCATAGACAACAGTCAACAATTGTTAAATGATCTACTGTACCTGTATTATACCATGTATGAGGTATCAGAATGTCTCCAAAATCCAAAATACTGGATTTGATTCACTTGTTGATATAAACAATTATGCACCCTTTAGTACTGACTGCACTTGCCAGGGACCTTAGGAGAAAAAAAATCCAATCTGTCCTGGACAAAAACTACCTTTACCCAAGGTACATACCCACTGCTTTACCAGATTCACACTGCCAAGTCAACCCTGGCAAGCTCAGCAAGTGGCTAAGAAATCTTCACTATAGTAAGCAGGAGGTCATGGGTTCGACTCTCACCCAAGCCTGAACAAAGCCTCAAAATCTGTCTAAGAACTGCCAGGAAATGTTTTACCTATGAGAAAGGGATCAAGTAGGTTATTGAAAGACCCATTTCATGTGTTGTGTATGCATATTAGACAAGTATGTAAATAAGACTGCATGGAATTAAGGCGGTAAAGATGCATAGCAACCAATAAGACTTGAGAAGCTTTAAGGGTATTGCCTGTCTCATACACCCAGCAAGCTTGTGGACTTTTTCTCATAAACTCTCAGACAGCACTATACAGTGCTAATGAACTCAGGTCAATGAAGGGGAAAATCAATTATTAAAATTGACAATATTTTTTAACTTACAAGTACGTTGCCATGGAAATAGATAGTGTGAATGTCAGCCTCGGTGCCAAATGCCGTAACGTGCCAATCAACCTTGTCCCCAACGCAGACTTCAAGACCAGGCAGGTTGCCGTAGAGAAAACCATTGATGCTGTCCATTTGGTTGCTACGGACAAAGTCGTCACTTTCTGAAAGAGAAGAGTAAATTGAAGAGCGTTATTCCAAATTTGAGGGCTGTATGGCATTCTTTTTACCCCATTGTTAAAAAACTTATTTATTTTCAATTTTATTTTATTTTTATTCCCTTTTTTAAAGTTGTATTACTACAAATCTCAAATTATTTATTTGGAATTATTATTACAAATCTCATCTATATAATTTTTCCTTCTTTTCATTTCTTCCCTCTTTTTTTTTTGGGGGGGGGCGTTTGCTGTCAGCAATACATATAAAAAGGGCACACACACTTTTGGTTTATACTTATTCTTTCCTTGGGTGGACTTATAAGGCAATAAATATGTGCTTGGCTGGTTTTAACAAGTACGTTTAAGACTGGCTTTGGGGCTGGTCGGTCTTAAACGTACTTGTTGAATACCGGCCAAGCACGTATTTATTCCCATTCATCAATACCTTTTCAGTCAAAAAGTCAAAACAAGTCAAATATTTTAAATTTTACTTCATGTTTTTAAACACCCCTCCTAGCTTATGTTATGGTATGTGCCTCTCACAGCAGTGGTAAACATCTCCTTTACATGGAGATCAAACTTTTTTAAACACTGGCTCTGGCTACATCAATACAGCAAAATTCTCCAAACATTCTCATGGCTTCTTCTAAATCTATTCTTTCTGTTTTTTTGCAATAGTTTTTACCTTGATCAAAATCTGTCCTGCCGATGTAAGTTTCAATGTTCTCACTGAGTAAGTAGCTAAGGTTCTCATCCACAATGCTGAACATAATGAGAAATTCCTTGTCAACATCTGTTCGTCTTCCACTTTCATCCAGGATCCCTAGTAAAAACGTAAACACAACTGAATTCCAACGATAAGCGTTTTCTCAATACCCCACAGAAGTGAAATCAAGATGGCCACTAGATAGAGAGCATGCACAGATGAAGGAAATGATTGACAGGGTCTTGGGAAATCAGGCCACATATCTTCAAGATCAATTTAAGATGGACGGTCTCATCAGGCTGCTCAACCGCTTTAAAGAGATTTTTTGCAGTTACCTTAATGAAATAAAATTGATTGATAAGATCGATTAAACACAAACTCTTTTCATACACAAACTGAAACACAAACTGAAGTCTTTGTTAATCCACCAGTCACCTCAGTAAGCCACACTTACTTTACTTTTCTGATCTTGGTTTATTATTTTTTTCTTATTGAATCATATCTTTTCTTATTTTAGTCGTCGTACACGTATACACACTGTTTGTGTTCTTGTTATAGGTGTTGTTATGTTTATTCGTTTATTGTGAAGCTGTTACTTTGTTTTGTTTTTTGTAAACAGGCTGTTCCTTGACAAGCCCCGCTTTTTTGGAACGTGCCTCCACATCTGTTTATATTTATTGTACTTTTCTTTATGATCATGTGGAAATAAATGTTACTTTGAATTGAATTGAATTGAATTGAATTAATGTGCCTTTGCAGTTTAAAATTCCTGCATACTTATGAGGGTAATAATTACATTTGCCAAAGTGGGACCTTTTCCCAAACCTCGGTTTTGTCCCCAGCTTGTGAAAGAATAAACCATTAATAACAAATAATCTTAATCAAGTCAGCAGACCAGTTTCAAAAACATGGCAGGCTTAGAGGGGATAGTGAAGCAAATTCTATTCAGGAATAAGAGGGCTTTAGCCTATTCAGAGCCTATACCCTCTCTCCTTTTTTGCGGGGAGCATTTTTGTTTTTGTTTTGTTTTATTTTATATAAATAATGGGTTTGGCAATCACCAGGACAAAGGTCACTCGAGGTGGCGGGTTTCAGTACCAAGAAAAAGAGGGTAGCAGGTAAGAGAAAGAGAAAGAAGCTTTTGGCAGACATTGCGTTTAAACCGAGTTACATTGCAAGAAAGGGGAAAGCAAGATTTTGGCAGGGAGTTCCCAACTGAAGCAGTATGAGCGAAGAAAATTGATGAATGTTTTGCTGTACTAGTCTTAGAGAGGTAGTAGCAAATCATTTAAAGTGGGTCAAGTTCCAATGGGAGAGAGGTCCAATTGAGCACATCGTCGCAGAGCTGACATACCGTCGAATCGACCATTTTGGCGATTTCGAGATTTTGTTATTTTTAGGGTTTATGAAGGTTGCTCTTTCAAGTATTTATGCCAAAATTCTTAATTTTTGTCTGGATTGTGAGATTCAGAGCCCCCCTTGTGAAGAATCACTCACAAAAACAAATCCATAATTTGACATAGTGATGAATACGGAATTTCGCTGGTAACCAGCTTATGTAAGGTGTGCGTTCAAAGTACCAACGAATGTTATTTGTCAGTTTGTCGGATTGGCCCGCACGTGCGCGCGCGATCCGACAAACTGACGAATAGCATACAAATAGTGTTAAGAACAACCGGCTATTGGGGATTAATGTAATTTGACAAACTGACGAACAGTTTACGATCAAATAAAATCATATAGCACAACTTCTCTGATTAAATAAGTGACCTGATGGATACTTAGTTTCCTATTGTATTCCGAATATATACTAAAAGGGTTTTTATCGAAATATTAAGGGTAAATTACGGCGCCCACAACTTCAAACGCGAATTACTCGAAACAAGGTTTTCGCTTATTCGTCGGTATGTCAGCTCTGCGACGACATGATGCACATCCCGTGGCAATATCTACAAAACAATATTGATCATCCAAGCGGGAGATTCAAGGGAGGCCACTAGCTAGACCATGCATGACCCACTAGCCATGTTGCTAATTTGATACAAATTAAGGACAGATAACAAGCAGGAGCTCCAGCCCATGGCTACAATATTCCGTAACAGGTCATATAAGTCTGTAGTAAGTAATTACTGATAGACCTGACCAACCGTCTTTGCAGATCATCAGTGCACCAATCAGGCCAGTGTTTGTGCCATAAGGTGAGGCAATGTGTGAGTGGTAGGGCCAAGGTCGACAATTTTCATTCTGGTCTGCCGGACCAGCAGCTTCATTGGCAATCCATTTGAAGCGGTGTGTCTGGCCTGGTTGTACATCCTCATCGTTCTTATCTTTGCCTGCTGTACCGTCTTCGTACCTCGCACCTGAACAATCAAATGACATTCAAAGGAAGGACAGGTTGAATAGTAAAACTGCTTACAAACTGTGATTTTCCTAGAAACTGAAGAAAAAAACATGGCCAGTGGAAAGGGGGGGGGGGGGAAGGAAGGAATTCGAAGGGGTTTATCCCCCTCCCCATCACAACAACTTTTTGAAAATAATGAATTTTGCCAATCTCCCATGTTTAAATAATTTCTTGTGTCTTAGGTCACCAGCGTTACTTTTGAGTTAAAAGCCTTTAAAAATTCTTGCCCAATGGAAATGATTTCATCATGAACTTGTTTGTGAAAAACATCCTAAATTAATCATTTCGCTGGGTCTCACAATTTTGGCTAAATGGCCCATTCAGGCTAAATGGCCCATTCAGTTCCACACCGCAAAATCAAAACTACATAAATCACAAGTACAAAAAGAGATTGAGTTTCTTTTAAGCATGTATGACTTAAAATAGGCCTATAACACAAACATAATTAAGTGCAAATATCCGTTCCTGTGAAATGTATGAAAATGATGAGATCCCCTTTTTTGTTTTTATTTTTTTCAATATTGAAAACTATCATGTCCCATGATGTTCCTGACAACCCAAGGGGGGGGGGGGGGGGGCTAGAGTGATGTCACTTTTATAGGCACATGTATTGTACAGCTTAGCGGCACAATAAGCTATATTATACAACACCTGAATAAATCCCCGTTATCTGATTGGAGGATCGTTGATCACATGTCATTGAATTATTCGTACCAACGCACGGCGCGCGCGTGGCGCGCAGCGCACAGTGCAATGGAAGTTCTATTGCACTGTGAATAGAACTTCCATTGCACGCTGTGGTTACCAATTCGCCAAGTTTCACTGGTACAACCCCCCCCCCCCCCCGATACGAAACCTATCCCCTTACCTTCAGAGTCCTTTTCATACTTCATGCCGTGTGGATGCATGGTGTAAGGTCTGCTAGCCATATTCTTGAAGTGGACAAACATGGTGTCGCCCACCTCCGCGTAGAGTATCGGGCCCAGGAAACCAAGCCATTCCGGTTTGGCAATCTCCTCTGTGTAAGTAGCGTCTGTGTACTGCTTGTACACAGCCTTCTTGTATTTGCGTCCGATGCGGTGGGTTCCGTTAAGGAGAAACTCTGCCTCATAACTGCATAAAAAAGTCAAACAATATTAACAGCGTTAAGCTGCCCTCTGGTCAACCTTGCGACGACACAGATCAGTCGGCGACTGACTTTTCAGGATCACGCTGTGCCTGAGCTACGACCGTCGGGAACATTTCAGTCGTCGATTTTTTGCGACCTGAGCTGAGTGTACGTGTTATAATTATAACAATCGGCATCAGTCGGCGCTCAAAAAAAAATCAACAGTCGCAAGAGCCAAAAAATGTCAACCTCTGCGACGTGTTGCGCGACCTTCACACCATTTCTCAGTATGTGACCTGACCATATTTTTTTAGCTTGATGCCGACGGTTCCGTCGTGCGTGGCCCGGCGCAAGCAAATCGTGGTTCGCGTTGGGTCGACCTGAGGCTAGCCTTTTGCCAAGGCCATCTGCTTAGAGCAGCGGAGCTGCGAAAAGCCCGAAGCGACTGGAGCAAATAAGATCAAGTCAGCACGCACGATCGAGTGGCAAAGCCACGAGGCCTTTTCGAACTTGATTTTGTTGAATTATTCATAGTTTTTTATGCAAATAAGAAGAGTAGTGAAAGGTTAACCAATGGACCGATCCAGTAAGCCCCTCCCACTGCGCGCGTGGGCAAATTAACACGTGCTCCTCTCCAATGCCACACTGCATTTTCCTGCCGCGCGCATCATACGCGCGTGCACGCATGTCGGACTTTTGTGCACGCATGTCGGACATAAATCACGGCTGTGATTGGTCAGAATACCATGGGGCGGTGCTTACTGGATCGGTCCATTGTAACCGGGGAGAGCGATATTTTAATTTAAATGGGTCACTCTCCTCCGAACCGAGTGGTTCCACTAATTTAAAATAATTTTGGTGGAGCAAAGTTTTCTGGTTATCTCAACAATATCAAAATATTTTATTTACAACACAATATGAGACAATATATATATACAAATTATCAGGTATTTACAATTGAATGATAGTATATAAGAACTTTGGGTATATAGAACGACAGTCAAAAGGGAAAATATACAGGCTGGACTGTCACTCCAAGGATAGGATCACTTGGGATGATCTACGTTCATGCCTTCCTCTCCGTGCTCGATGTTAAAATCGAAGATCGGCAGCAAAATAGACGAAAATAGTGCAGAAAACTGCAGTACCGGTAACGCCGAATATAAAATTATTTTGCTGCTACAACGGGGAGCCGCACCCAAAATTTGCAGTTATAAAAGTGGAGAGTGTAAGTGCTCGCAGAAAATTGTGGTCTGGATGCAACAAGGTGTTGGATCGAAATCAAAGTTATTTCGCAGCTAGCCCCACAAGAAAACTACACAAAACGCCCGGAATGCCAGCTATCTAACTTGAACAAAGCGCGTGGAATGTTAAACTCGCCTGCTCGCTACGCCCATTGCATATAGTTAAAAAGTAGCGGGCAAAATTCTAGGTGGCGCGCGCTGTGCTAAAAAAAAAGTTTAGTTGGCCGCGAGAGGGCGCTAGGCAAAAAGCATGATCGCAATGGCTGCTCACATGTGAAATGACACAAACACGAAGTTACAAAGTTATGAAGTGAATGCTGGAGTAAGGAACCAGTCGGGTAAAAGCAAGTACTGAAACCCGACCTGGTTACACAATCACAACGCGGATTTTGCCTAGTCGCTTCCATTTTGTGAAGGAAGGATGAGTAAGGAAAACGTATGAGCATATTATAACTAAGTTTAGATGAAAAATAAGTTCATACACTCAAATAATTTCTTGAAATACTTTTATTAGTAAAATTAAAATAAGATAATGTAACTGTAATAACAACTACGCGGTCACGATCTCGTGGAAAACTAGACTCGCATTTTTTGTTTTTAAATTTTGTGCTTTGTCTAATGCCGGCAAGTTAAGCCACGATGGCCTTGGCGAAAGGCTAACCTAAGGCCGGCTTTACAGCTTTACAACGTCACAGCAAAAGTTTTGCAACATTTCAGCGTTACAGATTTCGACGTCGCACACGCACACAAGTTGGGATTCAACGTGATAGATGAACGGATTTCACCTACACGGCGTTTCAGTTTTTCAACGTTACAGCTTTACAACGTCACAGCAATACAGTTTCTCAACATCGTATCGCAACATTACAGAATTCGACGTCGCACACGCACACAAGTTTGGCTTGAGAGATGCACGGTTTTCAACGCCGCAGCGTTACAGTTTTCGACGTCGCACCGTGACGGTTTTCGACGTGACACACACACACGAATGAACAGATATAATATATGCCATTTAACGGCGTTCTATACAATCATTATCATTATCAAAAGTTGGTTCCTTTAACTGGGTTAAACTCAGCTCATACTTATTATGCAGCATAATAGTTGGGATTCATTTAGCTTGAGTATAACTCCAGCTCCAATTTTCATCGCAATGCTCATCTAGTGTGATGAGCATTGGAGCTGGAGTTACTCAAGCTAGGATTCATTAAGCTCTCTTCTGTCAGCACGCATCTTGCTTTATGCCCCCCCCCCCCAATTCGCCCTCTTGCCAAGGAAGTGTCTTTTAAACTGAGTATCTTTTTGAGCAAACAGGAGATCATTGATGTCGATCGGATGATGAAGAACTTCGATGGTTTGTTTGTAAGAAAAAAGAGCGCCCTCTAGCCAAGTTGATGAGCCCCCGCTTTTTCAATTTGCTGCACCTGCTTAGCCAGTCGATACCCTCGACATTTGGGGAAAATTTTGTTGCTTATCGATGCATCCAATGTACTTTATGCAATGCAAATTAATGCGACCCCGCGTGCCAACCAATCAGAGTTGACTTCAGAAATTGTGACGTCTTTTTGTACAGAAATGTGAATTAAGCTCTTGACTCTCGATATTAAATCGCTTTTAACAAACGTGATAAAAACCTCAACCTTGTATTTTTCGCCGAACCGGCTATCTTTCTAACAGTTCTCCCTAAACAAAGGTCTAACGTTATCAATAATTGAAATAAAACAGGCTCTTTTCTGTGAACCTCCTCGTTGCAACACCGGGGCATGCAAGCCTATAGACAAAAATATGTGGACATCTGCTTTTCTGCTATATCAAAAAAGCAGATTGAACGTTTTTGAAAGTTCGTTCCCCCTACTTTTCTGCGTTTTTGCTACCAGAAAAGCAGAAGTTAGTTATTTTTTGATACAATCAAATTAATTTCTACTTTTCTGCTTTTCTGATACCCGAAAAGCAGATTTCACCTTTCCTCCTTTTGTTGCGGACAAAAAGTGGACATCTACTTTTTTTCTAGCTCAAATAGCAGAAAATCAGATTGAACGTTTTTCAAACAAAGGCCTACACTACTTTTCTGTTTTTCAGACACCGGAAAGGCAAATAGGCGGCCGAAAAGTGGCCATTTGCTTTCAGAGAACCGTGCCAATCGAACATTTTGGCTTAATTAAAGAAGACTAAAAACAATTTACCAAAGTTCAACCTATAGAAAAAATTAAAAGATTCCGATGTTTCGGTGGAAGTCTATTGGAAAGTAGCCGAGAAACCTACTTGGTTTACTTTCTTTGAGACGTCGCGTCCTCGGCACAAACTCGCAAGGCCTTGCAGGCGGCGCTTCAAAGGAAATTTACAACGCGAGTTCCGGGGCTACCTTCCAATAGACCTTCAAGGAAGAATCTTTAATTTTTTCTATATGGAATGGACCTTGGTAAATATTGTATTCTAGCCTTCTAGCCACTATAAAGCAGAACAATGGTCGTAACCAAAATGTTCGATCGGCACGGACCTCTGAAAGCAGAAAAGCAAGAGTAATATCTGCTTTTCAGGTACGTGTACCAGAAAAAAACCCACAGAACAGTAGAACGTTTCATCTGCTTTTCTTCTATTCTGATAGAAAAACGGATGTCCATATTTCGTACTCCATACCTAGCCTTTATATGCTCATAATTATGTACACATATCCCATCTTGTTGAGTGGTCGGGCACAACCCGACCACTGTCTGGAATTGTTCTCATAAATCTTCTTTGTTTGGGTCTTTTTTTTTTTTCCGGACAATAATTCTCCGCGGGTTTTCTCCTAGACGGTTTATGGTATGAACTTGTAACTTTCAATACACATGGACCCTCATCCCGAGTGGTGCATATTACTCTGACGTCACGATGACGTCATCGGGTGTCAAATTACAAGCGATTTTTGGTAAAAATATGACAATTTTCCGTCAATTATAACTCATGAACAAAATACACGATCACGTTCATACTTTGTGATCTGATGGAAAATACCTTGCTTAACATTTTTAAATTTTATAAGTCAAAGTCGTTTGACCTTTTCTTTCGGGGCTACCGGAAGGTCAAAGTTAGGTGAAAACAAAATGAAGACGTTAGCCTGAAATCAAAACAAAGCAAAATTTCTTCCGAACGGTTTATGGTATGATCATAAAACCAAGTGTGAACTTGTACCATGTTATGAAGATGTTGTTAATTTTGTTACGTCATCATGACGTCATCAGGTATCAAATTACAAGCGATTTAAGGGCAAATTTTGACAAAATAATTTGCGTTATATCTTTTGATTGAACTAAATAGAGTATCGTGTTAGTTTTTTCGTGAGGTTGTAGACTATGCCGTGAGAAACATTTTGTGTTCCCAGACACAAAACCGCTTGACCTTTACTTCCGGTGTTACCGGAAGTGCAATAAAAACTGAATAAAACTCAAAAGCGGAAGCATTTTACTACAGACATTATATTATAGTGAGGAATGCCAGACACAAAACAGTGTGATGACGTCATCATCCGAAAGGGCGCCCCTAGCGGCACATAAAATATTGTTTCTTTTCTTGACTTTTAAAACCATTGGTTCAAATTTTACCAAATCGACCCTTGATATTCTTTGATTAACCACAGATAACTTGGCTAATTCATGACGTCATCAGACCGGAAGTTACTTCTATGAGAATTTGAAACGATCGTATTTTAAATTTAATTCTATCATTTGATCCATGTCGTATATCTTAGCCCAAATAACGATACCATTAAAATGTTCACCGTTTGCTCCCAAAAACTGTGACGTCATCAAACCGGAAATTCGGTGTTACGAATACATACATTTATATTTTCCAAATTGTCATACGTTATTTAACTTCTCAATGAACATCCACTCCGAACTAAATCAGTATTCACTTTCCGTTTTTGACTATGACGTTATCAAGCCAGAAATAACTTGTATGTGTACATTGAATGTTTACTGAAATTGAATTGATTGTCCTAAAAAGGATTTAATTTCCTGATACTCATTTTACTTCTTAGATAGAAATATTCATAACTTAACTGGACAGTGTTTCATAAAATAGTTGTCTACCCGACCACTCTGCGTTTGTAACAACAAACGCTAATCTCTAGTTAATATTGAGTTTCACAAACAATGCCTATCTATGGGGTCGGTTATCAAGTACTGTACTTTGTACCTTTAAGAACTCGATACGCAGAAATGTATAAAAGAAAAGAAAACTAAAAAACACAAGAACATAATGGCCGCACTATCAAGCTTTATTGTGCGAAATGGCCAATGTAGCCTCTCACATTAAACCCCAGAGTTATATTTCGGTCATTATACTACAAATAAACACCGCCCTCTTTTGTAAAATAAGATGTCTTTTCATGAGCATCGTAAAAGTGAACATTCACCGCTCCCCTATTCTGTGGCGATGAAAACAAGTTGATGCTCACTAACTGAAGAACGCAAAGCTTTATAGGGATAACCCTTTTAATTTAAAAAGTCCATGATAAATTGCAACGCTTTACTTTTGATTTGATAACCAATACGGTTTGGAAGTAGTCGTTTTGTCAAATGATAGGAATAATCTGAAGGTGCCGTGTGCACATGCGTCGCCAGACCACTGAATTTTAAAGGGGGGGGGGGCAGGGGCAGGCAGAATTGTGGGGGGGGGGGATCGCAGACAGTCAATTGAACATTGCCAGATATATCCTTTTCACCGACCGCCGCAGACTCGAAAAGTTCGGACTTTGTTTTTGTTCACTCTCTTTCGTCGTGATTAAGAAGTTTCTTTGTGAATTGCTATATTACTTTGCTCATCAATAAATCCATTTTGAATAGCAAAATAATGTATTTTTTAGGGGGTGGACCTCGAGAATAAATTGACGGGGAGAGCAACTCTGAAATTAGGTCGGATCGGGTGAGCTATCGATGCATGAAATAAGGCCACAGCAATCAAATGAAGTCAGCGTCGTGCTCCACTGCTTGTGTGGCTGTTTCCTTTCATGCATGCACACTTCAATTAAAAATCTCCCCCTATTTTTGTCTGAACGAACAGTATTTTATAAATCTGCTCAAGGCTTACATGGATCACGTGACTTGTGTTTGGGCCCATCCGGGCCCAATATGGCTTTGCTGTATACTGACACGGAACAAACCGGTAATTATATAGTTACCATTTTGTGCTTACCCGAAATTAATAAGCACTGAATACTTTATAGAAACGGGATGTACCCATATGCAGGTGTGTTAGACAAAAAGTTCCTTGCTTATCGTGCATACAGTCCAGTTCCTACTTCACGCAGTTGCGAACGTTACAATGAAACTTGAGTTGTTGAAGTCAAGCAATTCGCTTCGTTTTGCGTGAAGTGCGGACTGACCATACGCCTACCGTGAGCTGAAATTCTGCGCTCACAGTAGAAGTTGAGCCCTATTAAACTTACAGCAGGACCATGAACTTTTGGGTCATGTGTTTCGAACAGGAATTTCAGTGTCAGTTCTGTTTATTAAGTCCAAGCTTCGTGTCAACTGCAATAAATTTGTTTTGAGAAAGGAATTCAAAACATGCACTTTCCCAGTGACAGGCTTGTTTACGTTTCGCAGAAAATATATGCTTTCGAGTCTTTTTTGTGTGATGCATTTAGGACTAAATTAACAGTGACTGCTGGATTTGCGAAAGTTTTTAATTATGGTCTTCGACAACTTCGATTTAATATAAAGGGAATGCATTTATCCCCTTCATATAAGAGTTTCGTGCAAAATAATATGCAAATAAATGCGAAACAATGAGAACTCTTTTCCCCATGCACTTGATACTAGGGATAAGTATTCCGTGTATTGTCGAAATTTACTGCAGCTTTTAATATCAATTAATGAGGTGGCTTATGCACCAACATATAGAAACCTTTTGTTCTATTCGTTTCGGAATACTGCGACAAAACAGCCATAAAGAAATGAGGGAAATTATGCCAATATATACCGTGTGTTTTCCCCATTAAAAATGTACTTAATAATTAATAGACAGTGGTTTCCTCTTGCGTCGTCGCGGTATGTGGCAAGGAAAGTCAAATCTTCTCAGTTCTAGATCTTTGTCACAGCGTGGCGGTTACGGTATACTAGTAACAGAAGGTGAAATGTAACAGTGCACGTGATGACTAAATCGGCTGTTTACGACGGAAAGTCCTTAATTATAATACCATCGATATTATCTCGAAGATCTTTTAATCTCAAGACTTGTGCCATGAGATCTTCGACTGTCGACCACGCTTCTCGAGAATGTTTCCTTCCGATCCCGCGCGTCGGTGAATGCCACGCATGCGACCCGGGGACTGACATAATAGAGGATCGTACATGTAGGTGTTACGCAAGTAAAAACGAATGAGGGGAATTCCCGTTATGTTCCCGAGTCCGACATTGTTGCGAGCGTATCTGGCCGAGAACATCCTCGTTCCCAGGGTGTCGAGCAGTACGCTCCCACCACTACCTGCTCTCTCACCCTGGTATATATATCCCAAAATGTTGGATTCATATGCAAATGAAGCATAGTCTGGTGCCTGCCTGTGCTTTACATCACTATGTCGTCGCGGCGTGTGTTAAGAAAACACGATTTTGTTTTCAAAGTTCAAATGTTACAACCTTATCCAGTCGATATGCAGTATCACGTGACACATTTCATATTATAATATGAGCAAATTTGAAAGGAAAGTATTTTTTTGAGACGGTGTGGACAGTCAATGAACGTGAAAACATGGGCCTTAAGAAGGCCCCGAACCACACGCCATACATTTTGGAATCAACTTTTAGGGGTAAAACAATTTTTAACAACTTTTTTTTTGGCCCCCAAAATGGTGTTCTGGATCTGCCCTTGTCGCTAGCGAGTATTTTGTCCTCAACGTTTAATAATGTGGAAGTAAGGAAATCAGACAGCGATTATTACAAGACAGCCTCATGAAATATATTTCTTTCGAATCAAGTCAGCCTGATATTAATAATAACTAGAGATTCGCGTTTGTTGTTACAATTTACAAACGCAGAGTGGTCGGGTAGAAAACTTTTTTATGAAACACTGTCCAGTTAAGTAATGAATATTGTATGTAAGAACAAAGGATCACGTAATTAAATCCTTTCCAGGACAATCAATTATTTTGTTTAAAAAATGCATCTTTAACGGGTTGATAAATTTCAGTGAACATTCTATGTATTGCACACATACAAGCGAGTCAAGCGAGTTTACGTACACAATAAAAAAATGTTTAGCAAGTAATGGTTTATCTGATTACAGAATACAAACATCATTGATTATTTAGTTCAAGAGTTATAGGTGAAAGTAATTGATCACTTTTTCAGATAAAATCACTTGTAATTTGACATCCGATGACGTAATCATGACGTCAGAGTAATATGAACCACTTCGGATAAGGGTCGGTATATATTGAAAGCAGTTCATACCATATACCGTTTTGGAGAAAACTCTCGGAGAAGTATTGTCCGGGAAAAAAAGAAAGAACCAAACAAAGAAGATTTATGAGAACAATTCTAGACAGTGGTCGGGTTGTGCCCGACCACTCAATAATAATAATAATAATAATAATAATATTGGATGGCTTTGATGGGGGATACAAGAATATATTGCACTCGCTATATAGCAAAATTGCACTCGCTCGTGCAATATATTCTTGTATCCCCTCAAAGCCATACAATATCTCCTTTATACCTTCCCTCGTGGATGTCAGTATTCTTGATGAGATTTCTCCCTGATGGAGCATAGTCCCACTCAATCTCCACGGCAGCCACAAAGTATTCCCGTAACTGGTTAGTAACGAAGCCTCGTGCAGACACGACACCACCGCAGAGTCCCACCACCAGGCAAGCAGCCAAGGCCACGCGTGGCCAGACGTGGACCAAACGGTGCATACTGCCGAACTGCCCGCTAAAACTCGGTACAAGTTCTCGGAAACTGGCACAGCACTGCGATATGGGCAGCAATTTATAGTTTCGCACTAAACATATACTATAGCACAAACACAAGTTACATCATCAGACATCGAAATATTCAGGGAGAAGCTGTCTCATCAAAGCGCAGGTACAACTAACTCTGCCAGGCGCGAGTACACTTTTTAAGAAGCTTTGAGTTTCCGATCGGTGCACGTGAGTTTGGTCAGGAGGTGAAGCCCTGACCCTCCAATGAATGATTGGCACGCAGGTTGCGCCTCTGCTGTCTGTGCCCTTCGAGTTGTTGTGTTAACATGTGCAGAGTCGGGTATTAAAAGTCAGTTGTTAAAACGTTGTACAAAATGGTATATTATACCCAAAATCGCGTAGGTACCGATTACGCAACTTGAGATCCGCCAAATGAATATCATTTTATCTGATCGCGGATTTTAATCTGTTGACTGTATTATGTGGGTGGATCGTCTGGAACAGGCCTATACAAAATACCCAGCTATTTATATTCGGTAACGAGAGCACATTAGAGCAGAACTGTGAGTGTTTCAAGGTTATAACCGGGTTGAGGGCTTTTTGTGGGGAGTTCGGTCGTAACACAGGCATATACTTTGGTCGGACGTTTTCATAATTTATGCAGACCGCAAAGGTCGTTACAAATTAAAGCCCATAGAAGAAAAAAGGTTCCCGAGATTAACCATTTCATCATTTGAAAACCATCGCAAGTAAAACCGTTGCACCTAAATGTGTTATGTACGGTGGCCCTGAAGGGACACAACCAGTCGTGAATATTTTTGTGACGTCGTGAATTTATTCACGACTAGTCGTGAATATTTTTGCGACGTCGCGTCGTGAACATTTTTGCGGTGTCGTGAATTTATGCACGACCGGTCGTTAATTTTTTTTGCGACGTCGTGAATTTATTCATGACTGGTTGTGAATATTTTTGAAAAATCGCCAAAAAAATTACGACCGGTCTTGATTTTTTGGGCAACGTCGTGAATTTATTAGCGACCAGTTGTTAATATATTTTTGCGACGTCGTAAATATTTTTCACGCCTAGTCGCGAATTTGTCGCGAATATTTTATTCAGTAGCTTGGAGGGTACGTATAGCTCTTGTGTAGTTCATACACACAAGTACAAAGGTACGTTGCGCTTCACGCGGGGCAAATCTGCTATCCCATGACGGACACTGTTGAACCCTTCAAGTTACTGAACAAAATATGTACGACAAAAATTCACGACTAGTCGTGAATAAATTTACGACTAAAAGTGAATTTTTTTTCACGACTATATAGTCGCGAATTTATTCCCGACGTCGGGTATCCTTTTCGCGACGTCGTGAATTTGTTTCACGACAAGTCGTGAAAAATGTTCGCGACGTCGCAAACATATTAACGACGTCGCAAAAATATTCACGTCGCATAAACACCCACGACTGGTCGTGAATAAATTCACGACGTCGCAAAAAAATATTCACGACCGGTTACGTCCCTTCAAGGCCGCCATATAGTTATGTTGTAACGTACATACAACTGGGATTGTCTATGTACTCGACTAACTGTGACGACAAATACCATCACTGGTGGTCTCATACTGGATAATTTCATTTACAAATATGTGCATAAGATTTGTAAGTATTTACAAATCGCATTCATTGCTACGGATCGAGGCTCAATGTCACATTTACCGGTGGCATTTCTACATAATAATTGCGGGGCTGCATACCCGCGGGTAATAGTAGTTCATTTTACTTTTGCGGTCCCTGACCCACATAACTGTCATTTGTCTTGTCATGTATTCGGATTTTTGTCCCAGGTCCCCGCTACCGTCTTACTGTACTTGTTGATTGTTGTTTTATGCTCGTTTTACTCATTTTGTTTTGTTTTGTTTTTGTGATGGTCGAATAAATAATAATAATAATAATAATAGTTTCCCGCAAGCTGAGCAGCCATGAGCTCAGATCCGATAGCTCAATATAACGTCTTTGTAATAGCCTATATTATAAACATACATTGCACTGGGAAAACAAGAGTCCCTTTAAAATTAATTCAGTGACATTCTAGGTCAAGTTGTTTTGATTTGGGGTGAAAAACGAGGTCCCTAAAACCCATTGATTGCAACCCTGATTGGGGCTCATGATGCCTGCACCGGCCGGCGAATCTTTTTTCCCAAACGACATTCGCTTCCCATCTTCTGATTTGTCCATTACATGCATATCTAATGCCTTGTTCTCCACAACACAAACCCAAGATAGGTTTTACGTCTTGTGATAAGTTTTCCTTCATCACTTTACTTAGCCTATTTAAGAGGTGAAATGAGAAGAAGTGAAAAACGCACACTGAGATTCGAACTCGGATCACCTGATCAGAAGTCAGGACTACTTCCAACCAGTCCACGAATCAGCTGCCAATCGTCGGTGATTTAAACACTATTATTCCTTGTTATATAACTTATTCTCTAAAACCCTGGACATCATGAATATGCATAACGCAGAGAGAGGGGGAGAGAGAGAGAGAGAGAGAGAGAGCGCCCTCTTTTGATATTGTCCGCTCTCATTTGAAAAAAATTAATTTCGCCACCGGCCGCATGTAAGCTTCGCTCGTACCCCCCGCCCTGCAAACAGGACGCTGGGATACTCTGATAAATTCACGCTCTGATTGGTTGGATTTTGCGTGACCAGTGACCTGCGCGTCATCAAGGTCATGACTCTGCAAGGTTTAAAACGGCCGTTTAGACTGATTCATTACTCTTTTATTCCAGTTTAGAGATGTTTTTTCTCGTTGAAAAGCGTTATAATGTAGGAAATTCTGTAAAACTCATCTGTATTGTAAATTTGCAATTCCCGTCACTCACTCAGGCTCCGTTTCGAATCACGAACGGTCGGATTGCATTATGCGACGCTCACAATTTTGTCCACATGGTCCGCAATGAAACAGAAATCACATCTGGTATGGAATGTGCGCAATTCTATGGGAAGTTTCGGATAGCATTTGCGCACATTGTCTAAATGCGGTCTCGAACAGCTGCAGCCAGATGCTTTATACATAAGTCATAGGCCATTTCCTTCACAAGATTCTGTGAAGCTCGTCAGAGTATCCCAGCGTCCTGTTTGCAGGGCGGGGGGTACGAGCGAACATGTAAGCTTACGAGCTGTATAAAAAAAAAAGCTCGTTGTCAATAAACAAAAAATGAAAGAAAGAAATCTTGTGGGCATTTTCAAGTCCGGAGACCATTCAATTGCCATACATAACAGTTTTCGCTCCTAATCACAAATCCATAAGGTTCAAACTTTACTCCCCTTTTATTTTAACACAGGCCGAATCTTTCGTGCATGCAATCAGTCTCATAATATAATTAACAATTGTTCGCGGTGCCACGCCCAAAAAAGCATGGACACACGATCTTGACAGCTTCGTATGATTGGCATTTGCTTACAAGCGCAGATAAATACTATATTTTCCCGGCAACGTATTTGTCATTACGTTTCCCCGATTTCGCCCCAGTAAACTAAAACCAGATAACATTGTGACTTGGATCCACCCAGCGAGGAAGCCATATCACGAGTACGGGACATCGTGAGGTGTGCCACCTGGTACCCAGAGATTCCGTTGGTCGCCTATTGGACCTTGACCAGGCAAGAAACTATTGTTTAGCCTGTTCTGGGATTCAGCTTAATCGTGCCTTGCAATCACGCACGACATACAAGGCCAGATTAAAGGGGCATGAAAAGAATTTTTCTGAGAAACACATTTTGTGCAACTTTCTACTCTTCTTAAATGTTTGAAAACTACTTGACATCCCTTTTTGGTTTATTTTATTCAAAAGTGCACTTCTTTAAACATTTCTATGCTTTTTTGACAACTGAAGGCGCTGTTGCCGTGATGTCATTTCAGGGAGACACTGTTCAGTTTAAGGGTTTTGTGTACAAATGTGAACTCAAAAATCTGCTCATTGATAACATTTATGAGAAAGGTTTGCTCATTGACTTACTGTCATGTACTAACACAATAACGAATCACCGAAGAAAAGAAAATGTTCAACAGCGAAATATCCAAAATTCTGGCAACTTTTTGTGCACAAACCAATTGCAACATTGAGGTTTCTGCCTGATATGACATCACGCTTTTGCTATGTTCCCTTCTCTAATTGAAGATAACATCATCCTGATTCCGGACACAAATTTCAGTGATATCGTGTTATTAACCAACATTAGAGATACGACACTGAAAATCACTGACAGATCCTATTAAAATTTGATATAGAGAAGGGCAGATCCAGATCACAATTTTGGTGGGTTTTTTTTTTTTGGGGGGGGGATTTACGATCGGAGGCGATTTCTGACCACTTTAACCAAATCTTTTGAGGAAAAGATGGTGGCGTACGCAGTGCCTGCCTTTATTGCCACGTCACTTAAAAACAAAAACGGGTTCGTTCTGGATCGGGGTGGGGGGTTATGGCCCCCGTTGCCCCCCATCCGCCCTTGTCTTACTACGCAACAACACCTCACGAAGTGTTCCAACAACAATAATGCCTGACCATACAAATTTGATTTTCGTAGAATAGCTTCAAATATTTGCCACTGTAGGCCCCAATTCATAAGTAAGTACATCTTTCATGCTTCTTCACTGAACTCATCTGCATGCATGAAAAGCAGTTTCATTCCTAATAGACGATAACATGCCGATCACAATTGAAACTTTATGTAGGGAATGTTGTAGGCCCTATATGGGAAAGAGGTAAGGCGACCGATGAACTATAGGACAAAAAGTGGTTCGCAATCTGTGGAGATTATTGGCAAATTATTGTACATAACGTGAATTACTGTAAACGAAAATCGTGGCATATCATTTCTGGGATGAGTTACCTCGAAAAAGGCTACGGTCAGCAAAAACGAAACGAGTTGCGTGTAGGGCTAAGACATGCAATATGGGACACGTCCGACAGTCGATGACGGAATCACACCAGCCCGCCATTTAAAAAAAAAAATTGTCGGACTTTCTTCGAAATCGTGCAGCAACTCACTGTCACAAGTAAAATAGCTATTCATGCACCTCAGACAAGAAGATGCAAGTGTCAAATGTTGAGAAAACAAGCGCGCGTGCACAATAAGCTCTGGCCCGCTTCCGGAATGTCTCACTTCATAATGCAATTGCATTTAATCAATTTTACCGACCACGAAGTGACACGTAGAAGCTCCTGCCAGAGCTTAAAAAAAAGGAGGGGGGGGGAGATGTAAACAAACATGACTTTCATCATTTTCTGCTATAGGTGTAAGACATAACAATGCATATTTCTAGTGACATATGAAATATGGCTAGTAAATAATCCAAAGCACTACATTTTGGCAATCTCCGCGCGAATTGTTATCTTTAAGGGACTGATCATCTTTTGAGGGAATATTACTTAATCGCTCTGACTTTTCCTACCCCCTCCAAAAAAAGAAAAGAAAAGAAATACATGGCAACTGTATTTTACCTCTCAAGAGTGGGCCGTCTAACAACACAGTTGACTCATTTACCTCACCGCAATCTCCGCCTGTGCCGCCCCTCTCCCCATTTCCGCGACTAGGATAGATTGAAAATGTGTAAACAGGAGAGGGTATATCACGCACTGCATTGTGGACAGTTTGAGCTCAACAGACAGAGATTCTTTGTAGCGCAAACTGATCCACAGTGCAGCGCAACATACACCTCAACTTAACACTTCCGTCTTGGTCTACCCGTAAAAGTCAATAGACAGTTTTCCTTGCTCCATAACAGATAGACAGATGGCTCACGAGTACGAGTATAACGATACGAGCAACAAGATGATACAAAAAACTCTGTAAATTTAAATATAGATATTTACAAAGAAAAATTGCAACACACATTTGGAAATACGAAAACATATTTTCAACAATTAGTTTTATTTCTACAACTTCTAGAAAAATATATACTCAGGGTGATTGATCAAAAAACAAAAATTTATTTTAAAAATATGAAAAGAAACGAAAAATGTACACTGTAAAAACATAAAAATCGCATGTAAAATCGCACAGACTACTCTACACAGTCCTTGACTCCTGGCTATCAAAACAAGTTCAGACCACGTGACTTTCAAAGACATACTGCATCACATGACCGGGTAACCGGTCGTGCGATGTTTAATTTTGGCTTAAATCTCATGTACCATTAGTAATTCCTGCATATCTAGTATATCCGTGCTCCTCTGAAGAATTTCCTCCTAATTATTTAAAGTAGAAACAAAAAAACCTCAAAGCAATTTTTCGTGTTCCAAAAATATTGCTATGTGAAAAAGTTGGCATTCATAATAAGGAGCACTTTCGTCTGGAAAATGACAATACATGCACTTGGAAAGATCGTTAAAAGTCAAATTTTAATGTTAACACTTATGCCCTGAATTTGTGTACGTGTAATTCTCGCGCAAAGATTTGTTTGGGTACAAATTTTGGTTCTCAAAAAATCGGGTCGTTGGAGCGATATTCGTATAATTCCTTGCTAGGATCGCCATATGTTTAATTCCGTCTAAAATTAGCGCGGAACCCAATATCACAGAGTGAATGGTTTAATTGACTGCCGGGCAAGGCCAAAAACAAGCAGCTGCCGCGTTTTTCAAAATTTTTCTTTAAAGAGTATAATGTGGATTTCCTGCAAACCAGACCTTTGAAATATGGCCGGTAAACAATTTCATGTTAATGATCTTCGGACGAAAGTGACCTTAAATTTTGTAAAAATAGGGAGAGGGAGTTGCTTCTAATCATTTATCACACACTCTTCTCACGAAAGAATCTTTCGTTCGATACAACTTAAGTTATGCTGGTAAATTAGCAATTTCTTTTGAATGTTTATTTTTTTGGGTACCTCATCCACAATTTTGGCAGCTTAGCAGATCCATCATAACGTTTCCTTGGTTTCACCTAGTAAACTTGAACCTGATAACCTTATGACTCGGACCACCAAGCGAGGAAGTCAGATCACAAGCACGGGTGGTCGCGCCGTGCGTGCGGCACTCGGCCGGTCACGAGTGCCCAGGCATTCCGGTCCATCGGAACAGTTGTTTGGCCTACATCAAACTTCCTGCACACTTCCTATTCTGTGATTCAGCAAAATAGTGCCTTTAGATGACGTAACAACTATTGCACTTTGGGCCAGTGCTGCCGAAGAAATTGATTTTAAAGCTTAAGCTATCACAGGCTTTCCAATACCCAACGATGTTTTCAAGGTGAGAGATCAAAAATCGATTGAAGTGAGAGGTGAAGGATCTTTGGTGGCTAGAAGGTTTGGTTGTCACCTGCTTATTCAGAGGCGTAGCCAGCTGGGGGGGGGGGGGGGGCCTAAGGGGGTATTTACCCCCACTATTTTGTAAAGACTGCCCTTTTCCACTCAAGTGCCCTTTTTTCAACAGCGTTTATCCCCCCCCCTCCAATATTTGTAATATTTTTAAAGAGTGCCCTTTTTTTCAAGTGCCGTTTTTCGTAAAACAAGTGTTATGTTTTTAACAGCGGCCTTCCACCAGTGCTATCTTTGGAATTTCTGGCGGCTGTTGGCTATAGGGGGGGGGGGGGGGCGCTAAGGGTATTTACCTGCACTATTTTGTAAAGACTTCCCTTTCCCATTAAATTGCCCTTTTTTTCAACAGCGTTTACCCCCCCCATTATTTTTAAAGAGTGCCCTTTTTATCAAATGCCCCTTTTTTTTTGTAAAACAAGTGCCAATTTTTAACGAGGGCCTTTTTTGGAATTTCGCAATAGTGCCGCCCTGAAAAGCGCCATATTATGTTGTACGTTAGTGTGCACTGTTGTCCTGTTTGAACAGCGCCCCATTGGAAGATGGTACCGACATCCACACTTTTTAATTTTACGGCCTTCCGGAGAAAAAACCCTGTGTACATTCAGCACGAATGCGCGACTTCCCCCCCCCCCCATAAAAATGACCTTGCTACGCCTCTGTTATTGATGTGTGGATGAATGTTGACTGAATTGTATGCGCAATGATTTTGTAGTCTCGTTAAGAATCATCTACATATCATAAAGCTGGTGAATCGGGCAACAAAACCCTAACCGTTAACACTACATGCTCAGTTATTGTGTTCGAACCTAACACAAACTTGATGTCGTGCTCTGAAGAAACAACATTAGGGGTGCAGTTCTTGACAGTGAAAATCACTTACAAATCCTATTATACGGCATATAACGTACCAACACCAAACACGAAACTTCAATCATCAATACTGTCACACATTAGTTTGATTTTCGCGACAAAAACTTCAGTAATATTTGCTACACTAATAAAACTCTTGTTTTTCCCCCAAGGTATCGAGATGGAAGTTGTGCTGTGCGGACCAAATTCTACTTATACACGAGCCGAGATTTGGAAAAAAACAAATCATCATCATTGATTAAGCCGTTCTCCTATTAAAGGGCGCCCTCAACCTTACAGTGGCGTCGAGACTTGCTCGGTAGGCAAAACACCATTTCCCTGATGCTCCACCCCTTTCCCCCCGTCGTCGCATATATTTGCATTGACGTCGGACTCGATCAGCTTCCGCTGGCCATTGAGGGGGTTCCTTTTCCGCCACACATGCGCAGAGACGAACAAGATGGCGGCGACAAGGAAGAGGACCGCTATGATGTGCAGAGATATCGTAAAACTGCCGGTAAGGTCTTTACTAATTCCTGCAAATAAGAAATGGGAATGAAGCCTTATTACATGTGATATAGGTTTTCCAGGTTATTTTAAAAACGTTTACCATTCGAATTCAGTGTTTCTAATACTCAAATTCGTCCATCAACACCGATTTAGTGCACTTCCAATCTTTGATTTCGTCTATTGACGGACAATTTCAAATTCAGTCAAGCAAATTCAAACAATGAGGACACGTTTTCGTCCCGCATCTTATTTCGTCTCGTCTACGCTGAACCTTGTTATTCAGAAACCAAATTCGTCTAATTGATTCATAAGACGAATTCGATTCCTGAATGCTGCTATTCGGCAACATCTTAGACGAATTTGATCTGTAATGACGAATATTCTCGACCCGGTGATTAAAGAGTGATGACCAAATGACTAAATTGGTTGTGTTGGAAGATTCGTGAAATTTTTCTCGGACGACATTGAATGTTAGAATTTGTGAATTGGAATGAATTTTTTTTTAAAATAGCGGGCAAAACCTATATAAGGCATGCACTAATGTTTTGTGCAGTGACGGGCTGAGCTGAATCATGTTGGGAAATGGTCCAATCAGAATCTCTTCAATAAACTTTATAGTCTACGGGTTGCAAACTGAGAGTGCATGCGCTCTTTCATTTATACAAACTCGTCACGGCAACAAATTTGTCATGCTGCTTACCGATGGTGGACGCCAAGGCCCCAGCAATTCCGTACGAGAGCAAGAGAGATGTGTAAGATTCCAATGCACGATCCACGCCGAATGTATCGATAGTAGCTCCTAAGGCAATCGCATATATCATCCCTCTCGCGAAACCTAAAACTGAACAATTCAGAGAGGCTACGATCAAAAACATTGTTTTATAATGCATTAGAAAATAAGCGCCATGTTGGCATCTAACTAAGCCGTTATAAAACTTTTACACAACTGGTACTTTTCACACCTTCCGAACTAGTAGTGGCCCAAATTCGAGTCAAATTTCCCTGGTCGGCCAAATCCGACTCCTACCAAGATGGGTCTGCCAGTTCTATCTGATTATTCGCGTTTCCCAGATTTTTTTTTTGGCATTTTTTTAAAAGAAATATCATTACATAATTACAACTGGGCTGATCTTTTTCGTAATCTTTGAGAGAATTTATTGACACTTTACCACATAATTATGACAAAATTAACTTACAGGGGTACACTGTGTTTCAGATTATTTTGGTAGTATTATGTTCCACACAAGTCAACTTCCACAAGTGAATTCACATGTCGATCACAAGTAAAGGCCACAAGTATACAATTGAGGAACAATAACAAAGAAATGCCTTTGTCTTAGTTAAACTTGTCATAACATTTGGCTCGAGACTTGATGACTTGATAGACTTGTGTGGACTCGAGAGGACTTGATATACATTATAAAGAGCAGAAGCAGCCAAAAATCCACTCACTTATCACATAAATTGTGACCACAGCGAAAGTGGGTAGAACTACCAGTGCGTATGTTGCTACTGCGGCCATGACACACACCACTGCAAGGATGATGATGCGACCAATGGGGGCCTGGTTACCACAGATACAAACCAGTACACGGGAAGCTATCTCCATGCCAGACATTACGAGCAGGAGAACTGATGCCGTGGGCTCGGGAATACCCACCGTCTCAGCGAAGCTCACCTGTCGTGGGACAAGGACATGAAGGACAAACAGTTAGCACGTACGAGCGAGAAGTGTGGTCAACAATGGTTCGGCTGATCTTGACCGAACACAAGCTAGTCGGTTTACTATAGTTATAGTTACTAGTCTAGCCAACTTTGTCGCATTGCTAGTGGTCTCACGGTGAGTAAAAAAACAAACAAACCCAAAACCATTGTTTTAGTGAAGTTCTGCATGTAGCACTTTTAAAATCTAGGATATGAAAGCCCAATTCATAAGCTTTCGTTTAGTACAAGAATCATTCAAATCACTAATGTACATTTCAAGTTACGGAATTTTAAACACAACCACCGCTTAAAGGGGAAGGAACATACTGTAGACTGACAACGCGTAAACGATCTGAAGATCCACCTGTATTAAAACTAGGGGAGGACACGGATAGGCCTATACGTAAAATTAGCTGAATTAGAGGTACTAGGTAAATTGTAGATCATTGGGAGACATTGCCACGGGTGCAACCCAGAGAAGTGGGCAGACATGTTCGACGCGGATCGACAAATGAATTGTTTGTGACACACGCCAAACAATTTTGTTATGGTACGAGAAAATGCTCGCACTTGAGTACTTACAAAATGGATCACGTTGAAGAGCGCCCCCAACGAGGAGGCAATTACACCGGAGAAAAACAACCAATGACCGGGCAGACGAAGCAGCCTGACGTACCTCACCCAGAACGATGACTCTGCTCGCTTTAACCTCGTGGTGGCGTTGTTTCCATTAGCTGGCATTGTTTCGAGCTCAGTTAAGTCACTTTCAGTGTCTGAGACAGTAGTCGCGGATCTTGCACCATGTGCATCTGTGAAAGATGTTTCTGCTCCTACATCTTCGATAGGGTTACCAGTTTCTGTCAAACGATGATTTGCTACAGATGAGTTCATTCTGAGGTTGTCTGAAGAAGAGGTTAAACGCAGCCCCATTTCAATTTTGCTGCCAGAGTGAGGATTTGATTCCCTTTGGTCCAGCTCAGAGAAAGACTTGGAATGGTGGATGGCACACTCGTGTACTGCCTGATCCGAGTTGTCGGCAACATCGCCCTCTTGTGACGGGATCGGTTGATATGCTTTTTTACTACGAAGTCCTCTGGCTAACCCAGTGATTTGCACTGGCCGGGCGGCGCTGCCGTTAGCCAGGGGGTCTGCGTTGCTGCAGCCGGCCCCTCTCTCCGCTGAAACGGGCTTACAATCTACGTCTTCGTCTTCTGCGATGATTGGACTGGGCTGCCGTGAGAGGGCGGTACATACCATCCCGATCGCCAATGTAAGGCCAGACATGATGCGAAGACCGTTGCGCCAGCCCAGGTAATAGCACGCTCGTTCAAGGAAGCCACTTATAACGAGGAGACCTGCAATGTGAACATTGTTAACATTACTCGTAAATCAATTGGAGTGGCTAACAAACGGAACTATACTCTCTATAACACCCCGCGTTTGTCTAAGCAGATATCAAATTGTATTATCTCTGCTGGAAGCGCAGAGTATATTATTGTTTTAAAGCGAGATTAAAAGCCAGACAGCCTTGTTGCGACCTTTCAGGTTTATTTAAAAAAAAAAAGTCAAATTTGTTGAGAAATTTGCATTTTTTTCCAGTCAGAGAGCTGGTCATACAGCAAAACAACCAACTCGGTATAGTCCCAACAAATTTTCTGCGATGCACCACGATTTCGTGACCCCATACAGTAAGATTTAAATACTGACCGACAGGTTGGCCGGCAGAGGCCAGTGAAGTGGCCCTTATATTGTTGTCCCCTGGATAGTGGCTGGTGACGAGGTTGATGGTGGCTGTCAATATAAAGTTGCTGCCCGCACCAAACGCCAACCCGTAGGTAATGTACAAGATCCAGAGGTGGTTTGCAAACGAGGATGCCAACAAACCAGCGAAGGACAGCAGGAAGCCAACCAGGATCACGCGTTGGCAGCCAAACCTGACGTAGAGGACGCTCGGCAAAGGCGCTAGAAAGTTCATGACCGCCCATGCTGCAGAACCGACCCAACCTTATGGAGACAAAAATGTCATGATCTGATTACTCCGCTATCGCACATTAATAAATACCTTGAAGAGTTGATATCTTCTGATTGGTCGAGACTCGATCACGTGGGGGTGCATTAAAATGTGATACAAAGATCGGCTTCAAAAACAAGCGAATAAATAGCCCCTGATCGAACCAGCATTGATCCAGCATCATGTAAGCCAACGATTGGCCAAATATACAACAGTCTACAGTATAGCTTGTACAGTCAGTTGCCGTGTCACGCGTAGCTGTTCGCATTTCTCGTCCACACAAACTCGGACTGCAACAAGAGGCTAGCAAACGATGGCCGTAAATAAGGCTTCAGAAAATTCGCGATTTTCATGCTAAACCACAACCGATCAACACAAACAAAGCTGTTTTAGCCGGTAGTGAAAGACCTACTACATACATTTATCGAAGTATTTTGTTCTCAGAAAAAGGATTCGATGCATTTTGACATTATTTCACGGACAAATCTACTAAAAATAATACGTGATGAAACTCCTTTTTTTTTGTTGACAACGACGAAAGTCTCCCAAATGTTGAGGTAATCAAATTAAAGAAGGAACCTTCATCTACAAAAAATCTCGTGAACGTGATGTCGTAAATATTTTAAGACTTCAATGTACACCTGAAGTTTGCAACTACCTCCATTTCTTTTACAACGCGAAAGATGGTCGCCGTTGTGCAAGCAACGAGAAACGGTATGACCGTGTGAGCCCAATAAAGATGTACGCCCACTGATTGGTCGAGCTTCAGATGGCCCGCTTAATTTTCATAAGCATTCATTGCATGCAGTTCGAAGGCCAACGTACGTACATTACGTGAGGGTGCACTAAACTAATTCAAGCCCCCATTGAAAATAATGTAAAATGCTAAAGACCGCGTAGAAATTCTCACTTGAATTAGTGCACTGCACCCGTGAGCATTACAGCTTTAATACACGCAAATCGATGAAATCTCGCAAAAGTCTTCATCTTTCAACCGCGATTTGGACCGAAAAATATAAAAGTCTCCTGCACGTGTTTCACATGTAAATGAGGCGTACACTATCCTCTACCTCCTGAAACTTGCCATTTCTTTCGGTCTTTTTAAAGAATCGAATGTACACCTAAAAACAATTGGCCCTCGCCTCTGTTGCTATAAAGTATGATTATTATTTGACGCGCCGTAACAATTCAATTTGTCAAAAACAGATATATTTGGAACCAAAATAAAGCACACGATTTCAACTTTTCACTAACATCGTCGTCTTGGCCGATAGCGGTATATCCGAGTAGTTGTCGGTGTTTTTCTGTAGTCTCGAACGCAGTCTCGTAAAATCTGGCGTAGGCTTTTGGGCCATGCGTGCGTGACCCTGGGACAAGAAACTGAGGTCAAACAGGGCTCTGCGCGTGACACGACCACTAACTGCTGCTGTTACACCCATCCCTAACCAAATAGGACTAGAATAGGCTTTCAATAAACTAGTCATGCTTTACCATCTACAATTTTTTCCTCATAAAAACTAGACTCAGTTCAGTTCAGTTCAGTTCACATTTATTTATTTCCATTCTGCAAAGCACAATTGAATATACAAGAAATAACAATATAATTATAAGGAAATATACAATTGTGGCACATACATGGAGGCATATTCTGTAAGCAGAAGCTTGTATAGAGATGCCTTTAAATAATAACTAAATGAAGAAAGATTGATAAGATATGCGCACCTCGCCCCAAACTTGCCACCTACCGATGATAAAGATGAAGTTGGTCCTTTAGTTGCCATTCCCCGTATAACACTGCAACTAGAGCCACAGCGTTTGTATAGTTAGAACTATTTTATTGCTCAGTTAAGTTGTGAATATTTGTATGAACAGTAATTCATCCAATTCCAGTGGAATCATTTGTTTTAACTTAACAAAATATCATTCTTTTGGGTTTATAAATTTCAGTATACATTTTATTGACACTGATGACGTCATCAATTAAATGTCCAAACTTAATATTGATGTACTTCAGACAGGATTAAACGCTCATCACACAGTGAAAATAGCTTCTGAAAATATGGGAATTATAATGAATACATGTATTGAAGTATATGAATTAATAACACTTAAAATTCCAGTTCCGATTTTAATTTAAAGGAAAGAAAACTAATCATTTTCAAATTCTTTCAACGAAAACTTTCGGTCCGATGACGTCATGATTCTGAAACCTCGCAAAGAATATCTAGGGTTAACTTGGTAAAATTGTGACGAGTGCTTTCTCAATTCACATTTCAGCTATCTTTGACGCACCGCCAGAGGGCGTCCTTTCAAGTAATGACGTCATCATGCCAATTATTTGTGTTTGACATTCCTCACTGATTTCAAGTTATATTCAATTTTTATTGCGCTTCCGGTAATTAAGACCGAAAGTAAAGGTCAAACGACTAAGTGCCTGGGAATTCAAAACATTGCTCTAGACGCTGTCTAACCATCTAAAAAAAAAGAAAAAAAACCCGGTACTCCACTCACGTGAAAAATTACAGTTCAAAGTAATTTTTTAAGTGCTGACCTTCAATCGCTTGTAATTAACACCTGACGGTGTCATGATGACGTCACAAATGATTCACATCTTTGGACCAGGGTTTATGCTCATACCAGGTTTAATCAGCATCCCGTAAACCGTTTGGAAGAAATTTCCACATTTGAATTCACCTAATTGTGCCCTCCCGGTAGCCCCAGAAAATGCACTTGTTGATTATTTTGTTTAAGAGTTATAATTATAAATAGTGAAAGATGTTGGTCACTTTTCAACTAAAATCGCTTGTAATTTGATACCTGATGACATCATCATGACGTCAGTATTATACACAAGGATGACGTAAGTTCAAAGTTACAAATATATACCATAGACCATTTAGGAGAAATCCATTGGAGATTTATCGTCCATGAAAAAAAAATAAAGAAGTGACAATTCTAAAAAGTGATCAGGTTGTGCCCGCAGTAAATAATCCATAATAATAATTGCCCAACCCTGAGAAAATGTCATGCAAATTCTTTAAAGTGTGACCTCCTTGGTTAGAACATGCACAAAAAAATTATAATTCAACAAAACATTATTATTTTATTTTTTTTGTAAAGAGGGAATTTCCAATTAGGCGATCTGTTTACTGCTGGGCTAAACACACGGTATTTATTTTATGGATTATGGAGACCGTAAGCAGTAAGCACAGCAAAAACACGTTTTACCTCCGAGGAAAAGTTGCAGTGAGACGTAACAATAGAAATCAGCATGCTCACGCACAGCGTTAGCACACGCCATGCGATAGCATAATTTTCTGCTCAAGTAAGCACAATTTTGTCTGCTTTCTGCAGCGCTATGAAATTGGGCCCTATAGTAAACATACTGCTAACAATCCGAAATTTCAGAATAGCGTTGTCGATACAGGTAGCCTTGTATGCTTCATGCAAGCAGCTTTCTGCTTTCCCAATGACTTTGTGTTCCTTCCTCCATGGTCAGAAGTATGTAAACAAGCCCACCGGCTAGGAAAACAGGCTATGGAAAACCATACAAGTGCGGGGTCTGCCATGCACCGTCGAATGATGAAGCGCAATCTCCGAGGCACGGGGTAAGTTGTTTCGGAGACCCAAGTGACACGCTAAAATATATATACTGAGTCTGCCAGTATGTGTGGTGCACTGACTGCATGCTGAATTGACTAAGGTGTGATTTTTGTGAGATATTTGCCTTGACAGTCATGCCCAGATGTCAACACAGAAGTGCCACCATCTAACATCCGTTTTTACAGCTCCGTGGTTCTAGCAATGTTACCCCTCTGAAAAGTCAAATAACACTACAGGATTGATACTTATCTTTGATATGATATATTGGTATTTTTGAGATAGTCATCTGCCCGCACAATCACCCTGTGGAAACAGTCACTACTAGCACAATTTTACATAGCCACCATGAATACTAATGTGCAATATTTTATTCATTGACTTTCTAAAAATTAAATTCACGTACAAATATAACAATAATATTACTGATCCTCTGTCAATCTTGAACAGCAATTTAAATCAGGGGCTTTCATAAAACTGTAATAGCAAGGCACAAAACTGTCTGCGCCGTAATCATGACACTAATAATATACAACCCCAGGAAATATCTTGCATTGTAATGGTGTGCAGATCATTCACATTGTATACTCACACATGTTCATCGACATTATTATTACAAGCCGTGCCTTGTGCTGTGGTATGCTTACGGCAGCGTAATAGAAATTCTTATGTACACCAAGGCCTTCCCACATAATGAGTACAAGTGTAGGCCAATATAGCTACATCTAGCTACATAGTGGTGAATGCTGCCTCACCTGTTTCAATTGCAGAAGCGTGGAAATCCTTCTGAAGGTACACGTAAAGAATAACAAAGGAGCTGACGTTGCCGAGAGACAGGAAGAAGATGAAGAAAGATGCGATCACGGCCAGCGGACCAGGGCGAAGACAGCGTGCTAAGCGGCGAGGAGGTACCGCCATTTTTGCATCTGCATCATTCACAGCCTCACCAGCAACCTGCCAGGAGCACCCGCAACGTGCATCCATTTATTGAGTGCTGTGCTGGTACCGTTAGCTTTACTCATTAACGTTCGTCGGCCGTACATGTACATGGCAGGCAGCGCGCAAATCTATTCCTCGACAATGAAATGACCTTCCGAAAGGGCTAGTGGAAATCAATAGACGATGTTTGCTATCTGCCCCTTTCTACAGGACGACAGTCTGAGGTTATCACGACGGACTGCTGATGAAATTAAAAATTACTCCAGCGTTTCGCGGCTCAGTTGCGTCATGACGTCGACAGAGCAATTATACTCTTCTCTTCAATCTAAATAAAGTGTCCGTGATGTGTTACAAAAGGTGGGGTCATACAGGTGTTGTCGACTACAATAATTCGTGATTTGATTCTTGTGAGTCGGCAGTTAATTCTTTAATGGGAAGAACGTGCACTTGAGCTTTTTTGGATTATAACACTTCTTCACCACACATCAACATTGTGAAACACATTTAAAATGTTTAAATTTCCCTTTTTTTCCCAAGTTTGTTTTCTCTGCGGGATAACGAAAGGACGAAATAAAAAGTACGTTCATAGCTATACTATAATTCCAGGAATCTGTGTGTGTGTGTCTGTCTGTCTGTCTGTATTTCGATTATCTCCAGAACCGGGCACCGTATGAGTTTGAAAATCGATGGGTGTATTGATCGGGACAACAGAATGTGCTGTGCCAAGTTTGAAGTTGCTTGGAAGAGGGGTTCTTGAAAAAAAACTGCAAAAAAAACCACCATTTTCCGAGCCTCAACGTGGCAGATTACAGCCTAGAACACGCACAGTCTTTTTCAATTGTTTATTGAGCTAAAGCGAGCGCGCTCAATATGACGCAACAATGGAAAAAGGATGGGCACACGCATTGTAGGGCGATCACTGTCCAGAGTATTGGTGAATATATAGTTCGTCTTTCGAAATTCGAAGATGACAGCCAACATCTCCATACTAGTTGGTGTTGTGTGTTCGCAGATGGCTAATAAGTCCAATTCTAGCCAGGAAGCTACGGTCCAACACTGGACACACTAGGTTGGGGGTGGGGGTGGACACGTAGGGAAGCATCTAGCTGACGAGATTTTCGTTGCTGTCGTTTCAGCTCAGCCTCCCTGATGCGACGGGCTTCGAAGCTTGATGCACCTTCAAATTCTATTTCCCCACATTTTGCCACAGGCCGCCGATTTCCAATAACGCGATCTCAATCGGACCTATAGTTTCTAGAATTATCGATGCTAGAAACCTGTCTATATGAGTAACAGTTGGTTTATTGTTCATACTGCAGGTGTCATTACATACCTCAGAACAGGCATCACAGATGTACATGTAGATTCAACTTAAAAAATGAACAACTCAATGAAAATGAGAGAGAACAATAGAGAATAGCATGCACTGCGTATACCATGTTTCCGTAACTCGCATACGTGAGTAGCTGCACGGGCACGTTCAACCTGTGGAAACAACACAATTGAATCGTGTGCGTTGTTTGCATGAGAAGTTTGAAATTGCCCCCACAGAACAGGCCCATTTTTCGACGGGCCCTGCGCTAGTTATATTAATTTCAAGTTTCTTTTTGTATCTTAAAGGAAACATGCGATAGGATTTTCATGACTTAAATACATTTACAAAAGTTTATTGCCATGTTACTATGACTTTCTACCTCCTTTGTAATAGAAAAGGGGAGGAATTCCAACATTTTAGTGTTTATGCTAATGAAAATTTCCATATTCATGAGCCAAAGCGTGATGTCATTCAAGGAAGAACAGAAGTGCCTCCGTATGTACAAATATAATCAAACTTTTCTTCATTTTCTTGGAGTAGGTAAGAAAACTTATACTAAAAAAAATGCAATTTACGAAATACGATGCTAAAATAGGATTATGCTATATTAAGGATTAAGCTGCAGTAAGTGGCAAGATGGAACAGGTGACTAGCACCTCTACAGAGCCATCCTACCACAGGAAAACCAGATCCTTAAGCAATAAAGGGGCGGGGCGTGTGAGAGGAGAAGAGGGGGAAGAAAGGGGGGGGGGATTGGAAAAGGGGAGGGGGAACCCGGAATGCGATACTTGATCTAATTAAGTGTTAATCAAAATGTCAAGCGAAATTGGCCTTAGGCCTATAGGGACTCAGTTAGTATCACTTAGCTCATTATAACTAAAGGGAAAATTATAACAACTGGGCAAAATCTCCCAGAAGTTATAGAAAGGAAATATCAGAACATGTACACGTATAGTTCGCTAAATATTCGAGTTGTTTCCATCATTGTGAAAATTGGGCCTTTTATTTCATGTAATAAGTCCACAGTAAACTTGCATAGCCGTAGCCAAATCATACGCAAAAAAAACTGTTTGCAAACGAGTAAAAGGTCAATCTAATCATTTGGAATGTAAATACTAATTGGGATTTCCTAAATCAAATACCCCCGTGCTTTCCCAAAATCAGCATCAATGCATAAAAGTCACAATATTACATCAAAATAATCACAAAAAGATCTCGGAAAGAAAACAAATAGAATATAAAGAACGGCGATTAAAAAGTAGAAACGCTTGTGACAAAACACATATGATAAAATAATAACAAATGAAATATTACCGGCAATGGGGTAATAGGGAGACTTTCCCATAGCTTTGTGCAATTTCGACGGCAAAATGTTTCCTCTAAGGGGGGGGGGGGGGCTGCGCCAATAGGGAGACACCTAGCCCGTGTCTCCCTACTATCGAAATTTCTACGCTAACGTGTCTTCCTAATAGTACATTTGTAGGAATAACAGCAACACTAATGACATCTTATGGTCTATTATAAATAGGTTCCGGATTTCCAAGATTCAGATCCAATTTTAGTCAATTTACTCTTCACTGTTTAACATTTTTTGTAGGCCTCATGTATTCTAATGGAATACATAAAGTCTGAGGAAATGAATGAGAGTTGAGTGCATATCAATCTTGCTTGCATTCTAGTCCTGACATTTTCGGCTAGAATTCGGTACTATCTTTTAAAACTGGGGCCGATTTTACGAAATTCGTCTTATCTTGCGACGATTCTTAGGACTTAAGACGAGTCCCCGCTCTAAGATCGATACCGAAGACGCGTGCTAAGACCGATTTCACTAAACCCATCTTAAGCAGGACGCATCATCAAAACTACCAATGTGATGGCTGTTTCATGTTAGTTTTTACCGCTTGACGAAACAGTCGTTAAAAAGAAACGCGCAAAACCAACTTCCCGCGCGCGTGCATAGACTAGTTTGTTGTTGATGTCCGGTGTCCATGTCTGTTCGGTGTCGTTTTTGTTTGTAATTAGTCTAAAAGAAATTTTGGTGGATACCAGAAGTAGAGCTAGAAATACCTGTGTCACTTATTGCTTGATGTTGTATTTCTCGGCCTCCTTTATGTGTTCTTCTGATTTGTTTACTCAGAGTTCCCTTGGGCTGCTTTTGGAAATTTGGATAACAAAGATTTCCACTCTACTATCGGTATCCACCTTGGGGTCATCGCTATAAGCCATCGTGGGTTTCTAGATGGCCCTCACGCACACTCTAAAAAAGCATTAGTCAGATTTGACTAGAAACCAGTCAAATTTGACTAGCCATTCAGGGTCAGCTGGGTGCAACTGAAAATCAGTCAATCTGACTAGTTTTTTCCAGTCAGTATTATTGACTTTGAAAAAGTAGTTATGCAAATAACTGAAATTGGAGTCGAACCCAACTACGTTTCTAGTCATAGTATGGAACTTTGCATTTTTAACTAAATTCCTAGTCAATTTCCAATAACTGGGAAAATCAGTCAATATTTTGACTAAGTTGTTTTTAGAGTGCATAACATCCCAAATATCTTCAATTATTGTAACTGAATTTAAGTGGAATAAACCAAGCTTGAAACATGGAACTTGAAACTAGAACACCAAATTTCGCCTGAAAATTACTTTATATAAAACTTTAGGTGGTATGCATCATTAATTTGTGCATTACGTCGTTTGAAGCAACAAAAGTGCTCAAAATCTTAAGAAGGGTGTTGACAGCTAACCCAATGAAGTTTCAGCTCAGTGAATGCTATATTCAGAGAAAACAAATTGTAGGATCTCGATTTCTAATCACGAGTTTGCTGACTAGTGAGTCATGTTTCGATTTGCGCCCGAACTCAGTGTTACACTGCAAAAACTGTAGTGTTAATTTAACACCATTTGGTATCTATATAGGACAACACCAGTCAAATTTAACACTAGATGGTCCTATATAGATACCAATGGTGTAAATTTAACACTCCAGTTTTTGCAGTGTAGGGAAACCGCGCACACATTTGCGTCTTGTCAACGCATGCGCGCACCCTTTCACGGCTTCGCCGAATAAAAACGAACTACTGATTACGGACATTTCTAAACTTGCGTCTTTAAACGCGTCTTTGGAAATGGCCTTCTTTTGTTGTTTAAAATGATAGCATGCCAGAAAGAATAATTTTACAGGGACTTTGGTCTTATTATTATCTTTAAAACAAGTAGCCTAAGCTTTTCAACAATAATATCGTCAGTTACTTGTTGGATAGCTACACATTTTGATCGTGAGCTACCTAAGACGCGTTTCTTAAGCGTTCCGTGAAATGGACCTCTTACACATATCGGCACCGACACCACGAAGTAACACTCAACGTGTTAAACAATATTTTTTTCGATTTTCAGTATATTTTTAAAAACATTATTCATCAAGGACTACCATGCACGAAGTTTCAAAGCTTTATAATTACGCTAATTATCCAGGGCAACTTTTGTGCAAAAGTGACAATTTTCGTTTTCACGAAGTAACACTCAAGTTCCACTTACCATTGTAACGCATGGCGCGTACTCTGCTCAAATGTGAGCAAAAACGTTTGCACGAAGTAACACTATCCTTTTATGAGCGCTCGATCGATCGAGCGCGCGCGCTGACCTGAAGTAGCACTTACCTAGTTTTGTAATACATTGAAGCGTGCTATTTCGTAAAAACGAAAATTTACAGTTTTGCAACTTTTTCGGTTTCACGAACTAACACTCACCTGTTTTCTCTTATTTCTTGTTGATTTTATATACAAACGGGTGAAAAACAGCAGATTAAATAAATTCAATACACCAAGTGCCCACAATGAGAAACCCAACTGAAAATACTCTGCCGTTTTGACGCAAAGTGTTGTTTTAGAAGGCGTTAACTTTAGATGCAATCTCCGATTGCTAGTTTATACTGATATGTACATGGGTATTACTTCGTGGTGTCGCAATTATCTTACAAAAGTGCCCCTAAAACCACCCACAACCTAACCTTACGTCAAGGGCGGATCGGGGGGAGGGAGGGGCAACGGGGCCGTATCCCCCCCCCCCCCAAAAAAAACCCCCAATTTTTTGTACAAGTGACGTCGCAATAAAGGCAGGCACTGCGCACACTACCATCTTTTCCTCAAACCATTTGGTAAAAGTGGTCAGAAATTGTCTCAGATCGCACCACAGAGCATGTAGAATTCAATTTTTTTTCGGGGCCCTTAGCGGGCTCCGAACCCCACGCCGTAATGTTTTGGACTTACTTTTGGGGACAAATTTTTTGCTCCCGCCCCCCAAACAAAAATGTGTTCGGGATCCTCCCTTGCACTGTAAACACGTTGGGCAAAATGGGTAGACCAACGTTGGTCAACATATCAACGGGTTAAACTCTTGGGCAAATTTTTCCCAAGTGTTGGTAAAATTTTACCCAAATTGGGTAATTTCAAACAAATGTTGGGCAAAATCATATTGCCCAAAAGTGTTTTACCCATTATTTTTTACAGTGTGACTTACGTCACATTGTCGATTGCGAAGGTTTTCGTATCCCAGGGACATGAGTGAACTGTACAAACACGCTTTAGTTTCAAAGTTATAGGAAATCTCAAGTAGACCGTTTGTGAGCATCCGAGAAACAGGGGGCGCTATTGGCGGTTCTCAGCGTCTTGATTTAAGACTCCGCTTGTAGTGGACGTTCTGTATGCATCTCGCCAAGCACTTCATGAAAATAACAAACACGAAGATGGCGGTGTAGAACTGTAACACGTTTCCCAGTTGGAAGAAGGAGCTCTTGAAAGCTGCGATATCGGGGTATAGGGGAAAAGACGACAGTCCTTTAGAAGTTGCAAGTAAGGTTTATCGGCCTAAATTTCTTCTTAGACTGCTACTGGAGTTTGAAGAATGTGAAAAGAACCGAAAGGGAAGTGGAGTGACTTGTCGAAGTTTTTCTTTTCTCTCTGTTACTTAAAGGTAATGATGTTGAGTCTGCTTATAGTATGCAGCTTATGTTTTTAACTATGTTCTTCATACTTCCCCTACATGTAAAACACCCAAAGTGGCACAGCTTTGCGTTAATGTCAAATGTATGTCCTCAAAGTTCATCTTAAAGCTAATCGTTTATACATTACAAATCTCGGAATGCCGGGAACCAAAGAAACTGAAGAGAAAAAATGTCTCTGATCCACTCACCCTGTATGTCAAGCAGGGGCTTCATAACTGTGTGAAAAAAAGAAAGAGGAATGAGTCATTGGCTCCGAAGTGAAACTGCCAAAATACAGGGTGGTAAAAAAAAACCGTTTACACTTTTTCAGATGTGTAGATTTCTTAGAATAGGGGAGACATGTTACAATTGTTTGCAAATATTCCTGTAGACTACGGCATCTTCGTGGCATATGGTGAATACGGTGCCGAAAATGAAGTCTAAATTAAGAAATGGCGAGTGCTACATGAAGAACTTCACTATAAATAAGTACCCAACATTTTTTTTTTTTTTTTTTTTTACTTACCCTGTATATGAGAAATAGTCAACACAATAGCACTGCACGTAAAAAGAACTACAATATTATTGTATATTAGGTCATAGTTTTCACCATAAACCACTTAGGCAAAGTAAAAAAAACCAAAAACATGTTTCTCGTCCCCGCCCGCTACCTTTTTGGAGGCCGCCTTGATTTTTTGTTATTTTTTTCATTTTTGAAAAATGCAGTAAAAAACACCGAAAAAGTGCACAAATTGGTGGTTAACCCTAAAGGGGCCGGGTTATTTTGACCATCTCTCAGCCGGGGGCGGGGGCGGATTCCCTAAGATCTCGGCCATCGAGTGACGAAAATTTTTGAAACTCAGCACATGCATAGAGCAACTCTTTCTTAACATACCCAAGAAACTTCATGACTATAGGTCAGGGTTTTTTGGAGTTATGGCTAATTAATTTCTCATATGTACGAATGGCAATTCTGCTCTGTGTACACGACGTATATTTGACGCGCCGGAAAATTTTTCGCTACGCGGCAACCCGGGGTCCGATTTTATGTTTTTGGTATCAAAAAATGCGCAAAGCTCGAGGCTAAAAAGTCATAACAGCTCGGGTCGCGAAATTTTTTTTTTAGAGGTAATCACGGAAAATGTTTAGGGGGGAGGGGCGGATTTCGCCCCCCTGGCCCCTTTAGGGTTAAAGCAAATGCATCTAAAACTGTTCATTGTAGACCAACACAACTCTAAATGACACTGTAAATATGTTTAGTTCTCTTGTCCAACTTGTCTTTCATTTTAAAAGTGTCTTTGAACAATGGAAACACCAACGGCTGCAGGAAATTTTAAAAATGGCGGCCATCTTGAAAAAAATAAAAAATAAAAAATGAAAAGCCCCTCGTCCGCCTTTTTCCCCCCCAAAACCCCGGATGAGAAACATGTTTTTTTTTTATTCGGCCTTAGATCTTGCTGTTCAGGAATGTCTTAAAAAATCTCAACATGTCCCTTTAATTTTGAGAAATCTGCCTCTGAAACCTTTTCTTGGCCCACCCTGTAGAAAGAGCTGTCAACAAGATTGGAAAAGCCATAGAGCTATATTAAATTACTAATTTAATATAGCTCTATGGGAAAAGCGTAAAAAGTTAATATTTTGTGAATAAAGGTTTTCATATTTCAGCCACAGCTGTACGTTTAGCGGATCTTACTAAAGATAAACGAAAACAGAACTGCGAAAAGCTGTCTCAAGTGTCATTAAAAATTTTGACCTACAGAAATAGTTATCAAATGCTCACCACAGATAAATCCGTACAAGTATCATTTCAAAGGCATGTGATCATCATTGAGCTCCAAACTGTTAATATACTGAGTTAGTATCAAAAAGCACACTTGGGTTACCGATCGAACGGGTACCAAACACCCTGTGAAATAATTACGTTTGGATTTGCTGATAAAAAGGTTGTACAGTCCTTTTCCTATGTTCCAGACTTTTCCTAGTTCCGGATAGCTTCAAATAAAAACCTACCTCTTTTGGATTAGTCTCCAATAATTTTTTTTCGGACGATGTGCATTTTGAAAAGAAAAACGTAAGCTCCTTGATACACAAAGATTTTTCGATAAAATCTTTAGAAGAGGAATTTTGGGCAGATTTCCGACTCGCACTTCGACATGTTTGGACGGTTTGTAGAAAATCGCAGGAGCTGCGAATCGACGATAACTTTTCTCCTCGGTATGTCACTTGTACCGTGTGATTTCGAATATTTTGTTCATACAGTCGTATAAACTCTTTCATCGAATGCTTGTTGAATAAAAATAAGTTGTAAAGTCTCTGATTTTTGAAAATTCGCCAACGAATGACCGTATGCTTTTGCCTAGTTCCGGATAGCGCATACACTTATGACCCAACTACACGCGCGTTAATCGATTTTGTGTGACGTTTTCTGCTGGGTCAAAGATTTTCGGTCCGTGCGTGAGTTCGAGCGGTTGCGCTATCAGAAAATATGCTTGATTCGGTTGGTTCTGGCTGAAAAAAAAAATTCTCGCGTGATTTTTGTTTCGCGTGAAGCAGTTTTGATCGATTCGGAACTGATTGAACCGATCCGGAACTAGGAAAAGTGACATCGGTACTTTGGACGTCGTAAAATCAAAACAAAAAGAGCTCAAATTGTTAAAATTATTTCGTGGTCTCTTCATCATTCAAGGTAAACTTTTTAATCAATGTCACTTGAATTCGTGGAGTAGTTGAGCTGAAAAACAGCCTGAATGTTGTTTGCTATCCGGAACTAGGAAAACGACTGTAGGCCTAAACATGGTTTTTCACTGTTTTCTCGAAAAGTGTCAAGCATCAACAGGTCAGATTTTGAACGTTTTTCTTTGGTGTTATTATTGGAACCCAAACACAATGCACGGAGAGCAAATGATCCAATGGGCTCCGTGCGCCAACAAAAAAGGGTGCGTTTTACCTCTTTTGAGAGCTCCGTGGACGGGACACACAGTGTGCGCGTACTGTACTGTTCTGGTTCCATAACTTTGGATACATTCGAAATACGCAGTGGGTGGACCGCAAACGAGTCTAGGTCACCCACAACCCTCCTTTCCTGGCCGCAGTCAGTTGCCGTGTTTCACATGAAATTGAAGCAAATACTTTCCTCTATCTACTGAGCCTTGCCGTTTCTTTCTGCCTTTTTTAAGAATCGAATTTACACCTAAAAACTATCGGCCCTCGATTTTGTTGATAAAAAAATATGATTTTGTTTGACAGGCAGGTAACAACACTTTATATTTGTCAAAAGCAGTTATTTTTGGTATCAAAATATTGCACACGATTTCAACTTTCACTTATTTAGCCATCTTGGCCAAACAGTGCATGTATTCAGGCACTTTTCGTGTTTTTTCTGTAGTATCGAATAAATCTCGTAAAATCTCGCGTACGCTTTTGGGCCATGCGTGCATGACCTCGGGACAAGAAACTGAGGTCAAACAGCGTTGTGTGCGTGACACGGCCACTGACTGGCCGTTGATGGGGTACTTGTGCACGGAGCCCATATGCCTTTAAAGAACCCATTTTCCGGCAAAGTTAAGCTACCCATTGAAAATGTGTACACACCCACGAGTCTGATCGTAGCTGCCTGGACACCGTTGGAGTAACATCGATACATCTGCTCATCCCATAAAGTGACATTGGCAATCTGCAAACTGCCCTCGAGATCGTCAAAGTGTACGCGCCCTCTCGCACCCTCTTCCTGCTGCTGGGGCGCCATCATGCGGCTGCCGTTTTTCCACTCTGTCGTGGCGTACTCAGAAGCCCTGTGAGGCCCAAGTTTACCAAAGATCGTCAGCGGTAGTCGTTAGCAAGTCATCACGTTTATTGTGTTGGGTACATAGAGATTGGTTATAATTTAGTTTAGAACAAAGAAATACCAGTCTCCGACGGGCATTTTTTTTACAATTATGGTTCAAGGTCGAAATGGGGACAACAAATTTAAAATGAAAAAAAAAGAAAGAAAGAAGAAATTCAATCTCTACTATAATTCAAGGAATCTCTCTCTCTGTGAGTGTCTGTCTGTCTGCATGTCTGTCTGTCTGTCTGTACGTCGATTATCTTCAGAACCGGGCGCCCTATGAAGTTGAAAATCGGCGGGTATATTGTTCGGGACAACAGAATGTGCAGTTTCAAGTTTGAAGTGGTTTGGACTAGCGGTTCTCGAAAAAGCTGCAAAAAAAGTAATATTTTCTGAGGCCTAACGTGCCAGGATATTGCTTAGAACATAATACCACGCTCTGATGTTCTTTTCAATTATTTACGTCATGTAAAGCTAAAGCGCGCGTGCTCAATGTGACGCAACAATGCAAAAAGGACGCGGGCACGCGCGCGTGCATTGTAAGGCGATACCATTGTCCAGTATGGGTGAATAGCACTGCACACCATGTTTCCGTATGTACACGTTCGTGGTGGCTACACGGGCACATTATTTTTGCAGTCGACTGCGTGACCATTGTATGTAGGCGGTTGAACATCAAACTTGGCACAAACTTTGACGTGAGTGTGCGTTCAACCTGTGCAAACAACATCTTTGAATCGCGTGTGTTGTTTGCACGGGCAGTTCTCAAAAACTCTGCAAGTTTGCAACCTTTACCAGCGGCAAAGCAATTTGCGCTTCCCGAACATGCACATTTGAGACGGGCACTGCACTAGTTTATTATAAACTGGACTCCCCAGCCAACAACTTTTGACATATTTCTCAAGTTGGCTTAAAGGTCTACCAGCAATTTTAGACTCTTTCCAATATATATTGTTCACTGGCAATGGTGCCCCAAAAGAGACATAGGCCTACTCTGAATGAGAGTGGGGTGCACAGGTCATTTTAAATCAACGAGCACATTTCCTCAAAGTAACGTTCCTTCATTGACCCCCTTACAGAGCCCCCTCCCCGAAGCAATCATACCAACCCCAATCCATCCTACAACCATCAAAGGAATGTTTACCAAAATCAAGAAAAAAATAACCTGACTTTTCATTTATGTTACGTTCAAATTCGGTAATTTTACGCACACTCATGCATTTTATTTCTGTAGAAATAATAAAAACTAAACTTACCCCGGGCAAACGAGGCTGACATTACGCCCAATGGTTCCGAAAACCTTTAGCTCCACTGAAACAAAAGATACCGCAGTTTCCGGTATTAGGCAGATAAATTGACATTAGCTTCCTATGAAGTTTTACTCTTTAGCCAGATACTACTGGATCATTCTGGGGTCCTCTTATTATGATATCGGGCACGGAAACAAATTAATCCTGATTTCCATATGCGACTGATGACGTTTCGTACAATTTTGCAGGACTATAGTTTGAGGATCAGACGTTTACGTGTACAGAGCCCCGGTCGTACGTCTGATATATTCCAAGCATGCAAATGTATGCAAACCCGCGCGCCGGCAGATCGGAGTCGACTTTAGAAATCGTGACGTCATTTCGATCAGAAAATGTGGACTCAGTTGCTGCTTGGTCAATTCGGATGCCATTCTGTTTGTAATACAGGGATTGCGTTCGATTACTTCCCCAAGCTTACTCACCTGGCACCTGGCTCCTCGCGAGTTGGAAAACACTGACATGCGCAGCGGAGCTAAATATACGAACGGTTTCGGGTAAAGTTTCGTGCAAGAGCAGGGAAAGTTGATCTTTTACATGCCGCGCCACTGATCACGAGGCGCCCGCCGGACGTCACGTTGGCAGCCATGTTTATTGCATGGCCTTGTGGGATACTTACCCAAGTAACCGGCTCGGCAAGTCGGTTACTTGGACCAGGCTCGAGTAAGCGCGAGAAGTCACGTGAGGTGTAAATCGAACGCTGTCGCGCTTGCACGAGTGCGCGGGGGAAGTAAACGAACGCACTCAAGAATGGGTTACCGAAGAGACCCGATACATATACAGAGGGCGCCCGATGACATATACAGAGGGCGCCCGATACATATACAGAGGGCGCCCGATGAACGGTCAGAATCTCGAGTTCAAGACGCAGTCTTGTTCTTCATAATCAATCGCCGAATCTGCCGCATATCAAACTAGCAGGAAAGCTGGTTGGTCGGTAATCCTCCATCTGACAACATTAGTTGCTAGTGCAGTAGCCACAAGAGGGCGCTTTACAACATCCCCCAATTTTTGGATCATTTTTACTATGAACCGTATTTTTGGCATATTTTCTACAGTTGTCATAACTTCAAATTAATTTTGGTACAAACAGTTTTCAGTTACTTAAAAATCAAATTTTGGCATCCAAGGTCACTGCTAGAGGGCACTACACCCATGAAGTACTTATGGTAACTTATGCCTAATTAATGCTATGCGGTTTTTTTTTTCATGCACAAAATGTAAAACAATCATGACCCAGGAGGCTTTATTTGTGCAAATGGCATATTGAATTCCCAGCATGCATTGTGGTTGGCAATATGACCATTAAAAGTTGTCGAACATGGATACTAGGTGGGTTCCGGTGAAGAAAACGTGGTTCTGACTCTTCAAAATGGATATTTTGATATTTTTATGCCAAAAGGACCAAATTTTAAAATGTGATTACTGGGTTTTTAAATTGGTTGGCATGGCACTCTGGATATCCTACAAAATGAATTGAGGTACTACATTTGTATATTGACGTCCGATAAAAGTAGGAAACATTTCACCGAATTTCATGCCGATTGGCACCAGCATTCCAGAGGTATTATAAAAAAACCCAGTATATGGGGCATGTGCTCCCTCTCCTGTGGTAATGGATGAATAATAAATTGTACACGTAGTCACCTCTATCGACTGGCTTTCCTTTCGGACGCGCCCATGGGTTCTTTTGGCCCGGACGTCGAGCTGCGGCGTATCGCTGAACATCGCTGTCAAACACGTTCACTACATCTGAAAGCAACGTAACAGAATTTATGTGTTCACCATGCAGAATTTTTATAAAATGTTCTCTTTGTTTGCCATGTTATACTAGCGCCGAAGGAAAGATTCGCAATACGGTTTTCCGTCAGTTAGTATCGACAATGGCGAAGTCAGTGTTCAAGTTCAGGGCGTACGTACATCAGCAAATAATCATAATTATATCGGATTGTGAGAAAAACTCAAATACAAAACAGGGCTGTCTCTCTGTCCCTACCAAATGGACTACCAACAGATGTCGACCTTCCATAAATCACAGGGCAGAAATAGCCTGTAGCTGGTTTTGCACCTCATAAATATCCTGATCAAATAAGAGCACGTCGATGGCCGATTCCGCTGCGCGTCCGGGAAGTAAAAATGATATACGCCCAAGTGACGTCATCCCGGTGAGCCTGAGTATCCAGCTCGCTGCCGTGCGGTATTGGTTTCTGGTAGCACAGAAAATTCCCTATGGAACCCGCCTCGTAGACATGTATAGTCTGTGGCGTGTAATCTTTATGGAACCAGTCTGTTGTTGTAGTCCTTGTAACTACTGCAGTAAAAACAAGTGTTGACACCAGACTGTTTCATTGACTGATGAAGAACTTGAAAATCTTGCACGGAATAAAGATACAACATATTTACGAAAAAAGGCCGTTATCGACAAGGCAGTGATACTTTAAAAGGCATTGAGGCTACTAAATATTTATGAGGTGAAGTAAAACAAATACAGCATGGTTTATTTCTGGAATAAAAATGGAATTACTGTTCCCTCGGTGTAGGTCAGCTCGACTGCCCACGCTTCCCCTCAAACCGACAAAACTCCCCTCAAACCATGCTGTATCTGTATATTCCAGCCTTTGACCCTCGGTTGTGCACTAACGTGAAAGCCTTATAATTTGCTTGTACCAAAGAATATACGATCTTTGACGTACTATTAATGCACGATTCGTTGCAGGTGTCGATCATTTTCTCGTCTAGCAGGGGCGACTTGATGATGCTCCAGTCGAAATTCTCGGGCGTCTTATAATGGCAAGGTATACCGGTGGGGAACACCTTGCCCAACCTGCCCGTGACCTGGGGCGCAATGGAATAGCAGTGACCTACAAAACGAAATGTTTCGAGAAAACGTGAGAATAAGAAAGATTCTTTTGTCAGGGTGCCGACACTATCTTTAAGGTACCGGCCAGGCATGTGCGTCGTGAGGCGGGGGAGGGGGGGGGGGGGGGGAGAGGTGCGAATCCATATTGCTGTTTATTTGATTGAAGGAGGGGGAGGGGTGTTAGGCCGAATGTTCCTCTGCCCACGCATGGAAAAATAATAAATTGAGAATAAGTTGAAAAGCTCTAGGAATTTTTAGCAAAATTTTCTTTGCCCCCCATGAAAAAAAAACCTGGTGATGGCAGCGACGCTCATGCGAATAAGAGAGTAAATTAAGTAGGCATTTTTATATTTTATATTTAAAAATATTCCCGGCATTAAAGGGACACTACGACCTTGAAGACAACCAATGGACAATTTTGCACTCGTCCTCGACTCGTGCAATATTGTTATAGCTCCTGCAATGTATTCTTGTACATGTATCCACCTCAAAGCCATCCAATATTATATAAATATATATAGTTCAAATACATCTGTCTCAGATTGTGAGCGTTCGGTGTACATGTAATTGACCTATCGCCGTTTGCGAGTTAGCCACGCCTCTTAGACAATCCTATGGAGTTTGTGTATGTACATTAAGTTTTGTTTGTCTTATATTTTGCGCGTTTCCATTCGTATATCATGTAATTGGACAATATGTAGCAAGCTACGTTGACGCGATTCTACCACGATTTTATCTACCGCGATAGGTCAATTGCATAGATATAGAACAGGGTATCGCGTGCGCGTTTTTTTACCGAGACGAATGTGAGTGCCTGGTTTGCCGCACGGACTACTGCACGGTCCCCACTCCATCCACATCGTATACAGCAAGTAGGTGTTGTCCCTTAATTGGCTGTACGGCTTCTGGTTCTTCGTCATGTCCACCACGTGCATCTCAGTGGGGCGCTTCTTGACCACAACAGTATATTCGGCGTGAGTTCTATTTGTTTAAATGAACAATTAAATGATGGGTTATTTAAAAAAGCAACGTGACCTTAATTGGTCTAAAAATCTGTCAAAAATCTTCAATTTATTTAAAATCTTATTTATTTGCTGGTCAATCCGCCATTTTGTTTACACATTGTGACCGTAGGGTGGAAGACTTGTGAAACATGGTCCGTTTTCAAGCGAGACAAAAAGTGAATATTGCCACGTCGAATATATACTATAAAATAATATACAACTGTGCTGAAGTTGTAGACGCTTCAAGTCCAGGGAAGTTTTGAAAGATCGTTGAAGGCAATGATCGAAGGCTAAGCGTCTGTGTGTTGCAAATTACAGACTGAAAAAAAAATCTTCAAGTGTATTTTAAATGTCTGAGTTCAGAGAACAATTACAACTCATAGTCAGTTGTCTTCAAGTGCCAGATTTCATAGAAGGTCAAACTTATATGACACAGCTAGTACGTGCTTAGATTTTGAATGTTTGTTTTATTGTTAAACACTCACCCATTTTTCCCAGCACATCCATATCTGTCATCATCGCTCATTTCGGCTTGACGGATCTCCATGGACATGTCATAGTTCAAGACAAACTTGTTTTCGTCGTCGTTGTCGTGCCAGTCGAAATGCATCATTCTAAAGCTTCTAGGGTCATGGGGATCGACCCGATACCACTTGACACCGCCATACAACTCAGCACTGTAACAAACCGTAGCCAACCATTAAAGAGGTTGTGGAATGCTCGAAGACATTTTCGTCATTTTTCGGGTATATGTAGCCTAAGGTGTGGTGAAATAAAAACGACTATTGTTTCTGTCATGAAATGAGTACAAAAGGTACTTTTGAGAGCTGTTTTTCAGGTCCAGTTTCGACCCGAACGTGCAATTGTGTAAAAGTCGTCGTTGCGGGCAGCAAACAAAACACAGTAAATCGTGACGTAATAAACAGGACTCGTGTATGCTACTCTGCATCGGGAGTCCTGTTTATTACGTCACGATTTACTGTGTTTTGTTTGCTGCACGCAACGACGACTTTTACACAAATTGCACGTTCGGGTCGAAACAGGCATGACAGGACTTGAAAAACAGCTCTCAAAAGTACCTTTTGTACTCATTTCATGACAGAAACAATAGTCGTTTTTATTTCATCACATCTTAGGCTACATATACCCGAAAAATGACGGAAATGTCTTCGAGCATTCCACAACCTCTTTAAGTTGCAACGAAACCTTTATTATGGATAAATTAGCAGTGTACAGTGGCAGAGGACTTAATACGGCATGAATTATACCACTAATGCTGGGCATCACATACCCACCCAAACTACACATTTCCGGTCCGATGTCTACAATTAAAATCTCAGTTAACTAGTATCCAAATCAACCTGACCCTAACACCCTTGGTCTCAACTTAGTTTTGCAGTCAAACGGACCCATCAGCTGACACAAAGACGTCCCTTTTTATTTCTATAGGCGTGTGGTTCTCAATTTCTTTGGCCTATAAAGTATAGGGTCGTCAGTCTCAAAAAAATATTATGAGGACAACATTTGCAGTTGGTGTAGGTGGCTAAATTAAAACGGTGCAAAGTGCATATTTTGTCTCTTTTTTGGTTTCTTTCAGTGAGTTTATCACGAGTTGATATATTGCTGAATAAAATAATAAATCTATTTGGCAAGAGGTAGTCGACTATTACAGATGCACCAAGGAGATCACTAATGTTTTTGGGTGAAGCCGCAGCCATGACATACAATTAAAGGTATAACACCTAACATGATCATCTCATGAGCAGTGTTTTATTCGAGAAAATCACAAGTCTTTCCCAAAAGCCTGTCAGAAGTATCTGGATGAACACAAATAGCTGGATGAACATTGACAAAGGAATTATGTTTGCAATAGTTTATTGAATACCAAGAGACTTGACTTGAAACCGAAGGACTTGTGATTAACTTGTGATGGACTTGTGATTGACTTGTGATGGACTTGTGATTGGCTTGTGATTGACTTGTGATTGGCTTGATATTGACTTGCGATTGACTTGCGATTGACTTGTGATTGACTAGTGATTGACTTGTGATGGACTTGTGATGGACTTGTGATGGACTTGTGATGGACTTGTGATGGACTTGTGATTGGCTTGTGATTGACTTGTGATTGACTTGTGATTGGCTTGCGATTGACTTGCGATTGACTTGTGATTGACTAGTGATTGACTTGTGATTGACTTGTGATGGACTTGTGATGGACTTGTGATGGACTTTGGATCGATTTCGGATAGACTTGTGATAAACTTGTGATGGACTTGCGATGGACTTGTTATTGGCTTGCGATTGACTTGCGATTGACTTGTGATTAACTAGTGATTGACTTGTAATGAACTTGTGATTGACTAAACTTGACTTAAGTCGGAATTGCTCAAAGTCGGTATCTTAAAAAAATAAGTAAAACAAAAAAATCAAAAAAATCACTTAATTTACATCTTTCCAGAAGCGCGCATTCCAATTCATGCCGTATAACAATGCGCGCACACTGCATGTACATTGTTCAACACGTGTGTTATACGTACATGTATGTTTGCATGTAAATAGCATGTGCATACATGTGGTGCAAAAGTTAGCAAATTGCTGCATCACACAAAAATAACATGTACATGTACGTTTTTATCAAGTCGGTCTGAAGTGGACGCATAAGTCCGTGTTATGGTACGGCGCATTGATCTCCATATGTGTATATGGAGATCAATGGTACGGCGAGTACAGTCCGTATGCGCTATGCGCACATTTATATTCAGATACAGACCAAGCGCAACCCATACTTGGCCAAGTATATAGTGATGGACTTGTGATGGACTTGCGGGGACTCGAATGCCACACTGCTAATGGGATTCCACTGGTTGCTATACGCCGTACTTCACGTAAAAATTTAGTACTCATTTTCAGTAGCTTTTCAAATGACACCGACTTTAATGGGGTTTTAGACGAGAGCCCCAAATAGGGTAGTCTGAGTATCACCCATTAAGTCGTGACGGCGTTTCATTCCAAATCAGGACTAATGGTATGATTGGTCAATTCGAATGCAGTGTGTTGTGATACAACAACAGCCGGGTGCGATACATTGTAACATGATACAGAGCGCGTGACACATTTTCCTTTAATCCATTGTCTATGAGGCGCAACGGTTGAAAGAACGAAGACCTGATATAGAAAGCGCTCACTGATTTGTCAAAATCTTGGAGGTCAAGAGGCGGGGTCTTGCCTATATAAGGCCAAAAAAAAATAATAAGTCGGTCTCTAGTCAGCGCGTGCGTCGATTTTAATCATGCGCGTCAATCTTTTTTTTTTCCAAAATGTTCCGCGGTAGCTCCAACAGCGCCCTCTATTGCCGCACCTCCTCAAATTTTTTTTTTTACCAAAGAGCACCAAGGAATGAGAAATTGCACTAAGGCAAATGATCGAGAGCACCAAGGCAAGGAGGACACCAATGTACATGAGGACACCAAATAGCAAAAGAGTAGGGAATCTTTTTTTCTTTTCAAAAATGTTCCGCGGTAGCTCCAACAGCGCCCTCTATTGCCGCACCTCCTCAATTTTTTTTTGCCAAAGAGCACCAAGGAATGAGAAATTGCACTAAGGCAAATGATCGAGAGCACCAAGGCAAGGAGGACACCAATGTACATGAGGACACCAAATAGCAAATTAGTAGCCCACCTTGTCTGTACAATCCAAGCTTGAAGAACAAAAAAAAGCCGCGTCCCCGCGTCAATTCCGGAACTTTGGTCTGACCAGAGACCGAATATTTTTTTTTTTTGGCCTAATCAGCAAATCTGTTCACGCGTATCATGAAATTCCTAGTATTACATAGACTAAAAATAGGGTCGGTCAGAAATTAAACCGCAGAGAAAAGGCATGTCCTATAATCCAAAAGTGAAACGGTATTTAAGGGTTGTTATATTTACCAGTAGTGACATTTCATCCTTAGAGTGTCTCCTTCGTACACGACGAGCATCTTTATGTGATGGAATTCTATTTCCAACATGCACTTGAAAGCTGTAGAGAAAATAATTATAGATTTCCAAAAAAAAATAAAAATTGAAAGACCTACTGCAATTTTATGTCAACTTTATCAATATATTTAATTAAACAGATTTCCGGTGAGTGACTAAGCGATACATATAAACATCTACTTCCCCGCAACGGAATTTGTGGAGAAAATGGAGAGCTCTGTCATTCAGTTTTGCACGGCCATGTGAATGTTTGTATGATTCTTTGGGATGCGGATATCCTCTTGTGCGCAAGTTCGACTTGTGATGGACTTGTGATGGTCATTGTGATGGTCATCACAATTAGTCTAACGTAAGTTAGACTACGTTTGTGGTCTCTTTCCAACACCATCTGTACAAGACGTGTCCTTTGAGAAAAATTAAAGGTACAGTCCATCATTTGTAATTTGTGCATTTTGTTCGTTTGAAGCAACAAACGTGCTCACAATCTAAAGAAGGGTGCCGAACAACTAACCTGATGGGGTTGCAGCCCAGCCCAGCCCAGCTGTACATTCCGAGAAAATCAGCATTCTATGATATCGATTCGATTTCAAATCAAAGGTTGCTGAATCATGTTTTGAATTGGGCCTGAATTCAGCGTCCGAGACACGTTCTCACTGAGCCGATTGCAGCTACGCGATGTCGCGCACCGATCTGACGAATTATAGCAACCGTGCGCTTGCGTGTGTCGTGCCAACGCTTGCGCGCGCTTCGCCGAATAAAAAAAACACAACTACTTAACGGAATTTCCAACACCGTTGGAAAGGCCTTCTATTGTTGATTTCTTCAAAACGAAACCTTGCCAGTAAGAATTGTTTTCACAGGGACGTTATTCCTTTACCAATTTACAACCAAGGATGTTTTCAACAATAATTACATAAGTTACGTTTTGGAAAGCTGCAAATGGTGGACTGTAGCTTTAAGGTACAAGGAATATCAACAAATTTCAAATCTGGCAAAGGAGAAAATGGAGAGGGGCCGCTTTCTAACGATTTCCCCTGCAAACATTTCTTTCTTGCTGTTAAGAACCAGAAGCATACTCACGATGAAAATAAGGCTGCACTTTCTTGTGTCGCCTTAGCCTGTCGGCTGAGGGAGAAACGAGATCATACAGAGAAATGTTAGCATTAGTGTCAAAAAGGTATATTTGATTTCTGTATGATGGCCTCTAGCACGTTCATAACGAGGGTCTGTCGTCCAGTTTTACTAGTCTAGTACCCATACGTGATATCTGCTGCCAGTCAAAAATTCCTTGGGTCTGCCTTATCGGCAATTCTCTTTGCTGGTATATAGGCATTCCCGGCTATTTTAAAAGAGTTTTCATTCAATTTCGTCCATAAAAACACCTCACACGCTTTAAAAAAAACTAATTTTATATAATCACTGGGTCGATAATGTTCGTCTTTACACACTGTTATCTCGGTTGTGTGAAAAATCAAACGGTTGGGTACTAAATGAACCTAGCAACCTGTTATGTTGACTTGTTTACACAACTTGTGTAAAATATTACAAAAGTTGTTCATTTTTTTTTTACACAACTTAATTTCGTGTGCCCGGCAGAAGGGCATATGTGTATATGCCCTTATGCAATCCGCGTAATGACCAAAATGTTCCCAGCAAAAGGGCATATGCAGAAAACTGCCTCCATTTTAATGAGATTTAAATATTTTCGTCAGAAATTAACGTGTACAGTTGTTCCAAAACTTATGATTCATACGTGTGACAAATTTCACATTCGTACGATTATATTGCGTGTGGGAGAGCACTGGATACAAAATGCGCGCGGGGGAACAATGGGACCTTTCAATGCAATTTTCTTGAAAATGATTTTTGCGTCAGAACGCTTATATGCCCTTCTGCCGGGCACCCGACATTATTGCTATGTTCATATAGTACACAACCGAAATAACAGTGGCAGATCTAATTCCTCTAAGCTGTTGCCGAATCGCAGCATTCGGAGATCGAATTTGTCTTATAGAAATCAATTAGACGAATTTTGATTAATTAATAACAAGGTTTGGCGTAGACGAGACGAAATATAATTACTTGGACTGAATTTGAAATCGTCTGACAAAAGACGAATTTAAACATGGGAAATAGCACTAAATCGATGTTGATGGACAAATTTGAATATTAGAAACGGTGAATACGGGCGATTCCCAATAGTGCGCCTCCAAGAGTTTGCAACGCGTTGGCCAATCACAATGCGCAAAATTTGTCGACCCAATGCGCGTTTGGAAAAGGTCGACTGATTTCGCGCATTGTGATTGGCCAACGCGTTGCAAACTCTTGGAGGCGCACTATTGGGAATCGCCCGTATTCGAATGAAAAACGTTTTAAAATATCAGGAATGCCTAGAAAAAACGTTGAAATCCTGGGTTTCAGAAAGTGACGATCCAGATAGGGGATGTCCGTAGAAGGAGGGGGCTTAACGCCTATCAGTCAAAATTGACCAGAAGAAAACATGTCATGCTCATTTTGATTTCGGAGATGCTAGGATTTCGTCATAGTAATTATTTTTTCGACTTGAAAGAAAGTATGTTCTTTCCTTGGAGAATGCATTATAGGACCCGCCCCCCAATTTTCGTACGGTCCGCTGTCTTCGACACCGGCGTCAAAAACAGTCTGTTTCAAGATCGATATCCGTCTTTTAAATGTAACCTTCTCTGCATGTGACACTGCAGTGCTCGATCATCCTCTGGTGACGAGTGTCTCCTGTTAAATCCCCCACCCAGTCAAAAAGATAATCGCATGGCATTCCGTTGTGATATTCCGTGAGAGGGCTTTCCCCTAGGTAACAAAACCCTGTCGAGAAAACAAGAGAGAACAAAAGGAAGGGTTCGAAGTTGAGAGCCAGTTCGGTTTAAGTCGATTTGACTGCTAACCACGAACTTTATACTCTAATTTATACAGGGGCGGATCAAGGATTTCTTTCGGGGAGGGGGGTTCAGGCCCGTCAGATTATGATGGTTTTTTTTAATCAGCAAATCAGTGCTGAAATTCAGACAGTTTTTTTTCTCCTTGGCCTTCGTAAAATTAAAAAGTGCGTACAGGCATTACATTTATTGTGTGGACTTGCGAGCAAAAGATGTTCACACATGTTTACGTTATATACCTAGTGTGGACACTCCTTTGTTTTCGTGGTGTTAACAAAACATGTGAAAAAAACCTTTCATTTTACTCACACTGTGAAAACTCTTTCAACACAATTTTTTTTTAATGATTCCCTTGAGTGTTTCTCTTCATATTGCGACGGATAATCCTTACCCCAAAAATGCCCCCAAAGCTGTGTTCCAGAGAGGGAGAACCTTGTGTGGATGTGGGCAAGTCCACAAAAGAATCTGAAAACCGGTTCATGTGTGTACAGGTTATCCAATACGACTGAGGACTTGGGACGATGGGGTGTGTGCGATAACAACGGGCCCGACGCTACCCGAGGACCTGCAGGGTACTAATCCTCGGGAATATTTCGTGTACAGACATTATGGGAGCCATGGGAGTACAAACCAAAGGGAGCAAAAGAAGGAAAGGGGAGGTCCTCATGAGCATAGTAAAATACGATTGTCTGTGTTTGTGTATCTATTGAGTGGACACTTGGCCTCCGTAAAATCAAAAAGTGCGTGTGAGTATGTAAACACCGGCAATCGTGGACGTGGGACAAAAGAATGTGGGCGCACACAATACGTCCACGATTGACCGAACGTCCACGATCTCAAATCGTGTACAAAATCAATGAGAGATGTCTCTAAAGAGTACCAACAAAGGAAAGAGGATTAGGGACAATGGGGCGTCCACGATTGCCGGCATTTACACACAGGTGTGTGGGTGTGTGTGTGTGTGTGTGTGGGGGGGGGGGGGGGGGGGGGGGGGCTGGTACCCAATGGCGATCATGCACACTTTATTGTACAACAGTGTACACAATACCCCTTATCCCCGCTGGCTACGCCTCTGAGTTTGTTTCTTCATTCAAGAGGGGACCTTGAACAATAGAGGACATTATATAACTGACATACAGATCCTAGTCATTTGATTGGTGGAACTTACATCACGTGACATTCGTTATTGCTCCCATTCACGCCGCGGGAGCATTCACGCACAGGGTAAATACGCATGCGTAGTAGACTGTCGCATGGTTTACCCGTGCGACAGTCTACTACGCATGCGCTTTACAGAGCAATAGAGGAACTGTCGCACGGGTGCAGTACGCACACGCGAACTTCGCCCAGGATAGATGCATGGTTGCACAGTTCGCGTACATGTTAATTTCCAGAGCTCAATGATGCCGTACTGGAGAAAATTTATGGACCGTGTAAAGATGTCTCCTGTACAAAGGAAAGTTGTACACAAACAACTGTATTTACAGCTGTAGTAACTGTATTATATTGCAAACTTGCGAACCGAACTAGTAATTAAAAGTACTATGCCCATAGCAACCAAAGTACCATACAATTAGCAACCGAAGTACTATTTCCACGGCGCGGTATTTGTGTGCAAATGCATGCTGGTGTGCGCGTTGCGCGTTGTGCGTAGCGCGTTTTGTTCCAAAGAGAGCGCGCCACAGAGTTGGGTTCAAACATTTCGTGAAGGGGTAGTTTGGAAGAGAGAAATACATTTACACATATTTTGTATTTAAATTGAAGTTTATTTCAACTGTGTTCAGATTTAAATAATTTAAAATCTTAAAACCAAGCAGAATCTGTGGGCGAAGTGTTATAAAACAAATATTGAATGCTTTATCTCGTGGTGAAGTAAAACTAGTCTCCCTCGGTGATCTATGGAGCATTCTATTTTCCCTCGGCTTCGCCTCGGGAAAATAGAATGTCCAAGGATCACCTCGGGAGGCTAGTTTTACTACACCACTCGAAGCATTCAATATTTGTATACTATTCAACAGTTAGGATCAAGACGCGTTATTTGTGTGCAAATGCATGCTGGTGTGCGCGTTCAGCGTTGCGCGTAACGCGTATTGTTCCAAAGCGCCAGCGCTACAGCGTTTGGTAAAAACATTTTCGTGAAGGGGTGGTTTGGAAGAGAGAAATACATTTTCCTCCAGTTTTGTATTGAAAAAAAGTTCAAATATGTCAAATGACAAGGATCTATATGTCAATTATATAAAACAAATATTGAGTGGCTTTTAAGGTAAAATGGGAGGAATAATATCGCTCAGTAAAATCTGAACTTTTCCAGTTCACTCGGTTTTGCCTCGTGAAATGGAAAAGTCCAGATTTTACTTTGCGATTATATTTCTACTGCGATAGGTCAATCTCCCGAAGGTCCCCAATTTGGCGATGTGTACAAAACATATGGGAGGTCGTCCTAACAATAAACAAAAGAGAGACAATAGGAGGTGCCCAATCGCAGGCTGATGCTCACTTGTGTGTCCGTAATTATTATGGCTCTCCCCGGCTTTTTTGAAACGTTTTTCATCCAAATTCACCAACTCTAACATTCAATTTCGTACGAGAAATGTTCCACACGCTTTAAACAAATCCAAATTTGTCACTTACCATTCAATTTCATAGTTTGGTCACCCTCTTTAGTCACCGGGTCGAGAATATTCGTCATCACGGATCAAATTCGTCTATGCTGTTACCGAATGGCAGCATTTACTCGAATTCGTCTTATATGATTCAATTAAACGAATTTGATAAATGAATAACAAGGTTTTGTGTAGACGAGACGAAATCGAATACTCCGGGACGAAAACGTGTGCTCATTATTCAAATTTGCTTGAACTTAATTTGAAATTGTCTGACAAAAAGAAGAAATTAAACATTGGAAGTTTCCTAAATTGATGTTGATGGACGATTTAAAATATTAGTAACGGTTAATTCGAATGATAAATGGTTTAAAATAGCCGGGGAAACCTATATTAAGAGGTCCAAATTTTAAAGTAAGTTCGGTGTGTATACCTATGCGTTCGCGGGTTCCCGGCTCATCGCATTGAGTGCACGGACCCCAGTCGGTCCACCTGGTTTCAATGTTCATTGGATAATCTAGTGGTCTCTGATTCTCCCTGGTATCCACCACAAGGAACTCGGAGGGATCGTACACAATAACCTCGTGCCAACTAAAGATTCTATTCGATAACAAAAGTATATATTTGCGAATGAAAGTAGCAAAACACAGATACCATGAGATTTAAGCTTCAAAGCATGTATATCCTTACACAGAATATCTGTGTCTGGGCTTTTAATGTATTTTTTTCTTATGTCAGTGAAGATTTATTTCCATAATGATCAAACAAATAAAATGCTATAACAAACAAAGAGAAATAATAGATAATATAGGTTTTCCCTGTTATTTTAGCGCTTGTATCACGCGAATTCCATATTACTTTATTTTAATTTTGTGCCCGAACATCGCTAAGTTCATATAGGTCAATTCTCAATTTGAATTTCAAAAAGCGAGCACAGGATTTCATTTAAGGTTCAGTATAACTCAAATGTTTAGCAAACCGATTCGTCCTAAAGTTGAAATAAATTCATCTTGTGTACAAAGAGTAAAATTAGGGACCAGAGGTTTTAGAATGAAAAATCACTCTCATTTTCTATTGAAAAAGTCTGAAAATGAGCCACTTCAGTCGAAGCTCAAGTTCACTCTTTAAGAATTTAGAAAGTAGCGCTCAGCGTTGAACACGGGCGATTCACAATAGTGCGCCTCAAAGAGTTTGCAACGCGTTGGCCAATCACAATGCGCAAAATCTGTCGACCCAATGTGCGTTTGGAAAAGGTCGACTGATTTCGCGCATTGTGATAGGCCAACGCGATGCAAACTCTTGGAGGCGCACTATTGTGAATCGCCCGTATTGAAAAAGCTAATTCGTTTTTTGTCATTCGTTTTAATGTTGTTGTCATTACATTTCGTTTCTAGTGACTTAAAACATTAAGATTAGAAAATGTGCCCAATCTTTGGACTTGTTTAAAGAAATTTGTGCACATGATTTAAATTATAATTTTGATATATATATATATATATATATATATATATCATGCAATAAATCAGAATACGAGTTAAACAAACTTTGGCATATCTCTCTTCTGAACAGACTGTTTCGTACCATAAGGCACTCATCAGCAGAATGACGAAAAATAGAATACAAGTAGCATCTTACCTTATTTCGAATCAAGCGCGCGCACGCGTTACGCGCGTTACGTCATTGAAGTTAGTACGCGTTTACGTCACTGAAGTAAGAACACATCTGTCTCGATGCCTGCACTTGGAGACGATTTCGCTTCTCTTATTCAGTGTACCTAGATCTGGCCTACATATGATTATGTACTTCTCTGCTATACACAAATTGCATCTCTTGTTTACGTTAGAGTATGGCAGTGCTTTCAGAACAATGTCCCATTTGATTTCATAGTCTTTCCCTTCGTCCTTTAAGTCCCATATATGTTTACTTAGCTCTGTTTGCGCCCTCTTGCTCTCGGATCTGAATGACTGCTTGTGGTTCGCCAGTCTCGCCTTGAAGGTTGTGGACGTCAGCCCGACGTATGCCTCCTTCCTGCCTTCGCTCGTGACGGTGGCCTGGTACACTATGTTCTTGCTGAGGCACTCCCCGCTCAGCGGGCATTCGGCATTGCGGGGGCAACTACATGTTCTACCACCGGCGTCGTCCTCTTGTTTTACCTTCCGTTTGTTGATTGACTGGATCGTTGCCTTCATGTTCGGCATGCAGCTGTACGATAACTTTACTGTGTTCCGGTTGAGCACTTTGTGAAGCTTATGTTCCTTGGGAAAGCATTTGTCTATTATCTGAAGGAATTTCTTTCCAATGTTGGTACGTACGTTCTTGTTGTATGGCGGGTTGTACCATGTCACCTCCCTTTTTCTAGTCCTTTTCCTGGTGTTATTGCCCGGTGTGTATGTCAACCGATACTTGTGCCCGCTTTTTTGCAGAGCCTCCTGGTAGGCCGGGGCAGCTTTCTCGAATGCCTCCTTGCTCGACGAGATGCTGGAGAGTCGCTTGTTGATTCCCTCTGGTATTTGTTTGATGACGGCGGGTGGATGGTTTGACTGGACATGTACATAGAGAGGTACATTACCTGGTTTCATGTATGGCTTGTACCCTCCCGTTCGCAGGTCTAATGTGATGTCAAGGAAGTTTACTGTTGCCTTGTTGGCTTCGATCGTTACCTTTAAGTCATTTTCCCGGAATACTTGGCATATTTCCTTCTTGATGATTTCTATTTTCTTGGGGGTCTCTTTGAATACTGCCAGACCGTCGTCCCTGTATAGTCCCACTCTATTTCCGTACTTTGGTTTCAGGATCGACAGCAGATATGCTACGACCAGCTCGCATGACTCCGCGCCGTCGAAACTGCCCATCGTGACATCGAATTTGCTGTCTGCATTACGCTTTTTCCAAGGTACCTGGTCGTTGAATACCACTGTCTGTTTCGCGTGGATGATGATATCTTTCTCCTTGCTGCTAATGCTCTCGTAGTTTTCCGCGAACCCTAGGGCCTTCAGGAGAAGCTTTTCCGTTATCGAGGGGTAGAACTCCACAATGTCGAAATTTATGAAGCCCGATTCTTGCTTGTTTGGGATTTTCTTATACCAGTCCAGTACGGCGTCCGTGCTTTTCCACAGGTTGAATCCCGTCGCGCTTATGACTTTACCGACGATTCTGTCGAGGATCACTTTACTTATATGTCCTATCTCTGATTTGGTTGGGCTGATTAGTCGACATGATGGTTTGTTATCGAAGTTGTCCTTGTGGTCCTTCAAAGTAACGAAGACTTCCCTCTCTGCCAATTTATCTATGCGGTCGCCCAGTCCAAGACTTTTAGCAATTCTTTTCGCTTCGCGATTGATTTCCGCTACTTCCTTTTGCTCGGTTTTCTTGTATGTTTTGGTGACATTCGCCCTGACAAGATTTACATAGTCCTCTTTTTCCATCTTGTAATAATTTGTAGTCTTATCAGCCTTGACGGTAAGCTTATCATCGTTCCTAATCGTATTTATGTCTTCGTTTAATTTGCGTTGGAACTGGCTAGTGGTCTTCTCAAATTCGATGTTTTGAATCAGACTCACCAAATTGTCTTCGAATTCTCTCAGTTCCGGAATGACCGGTGGTGTTTTCCGCGAGTTAATTCCGTACGTTTCCTCCTTCTCCGCCTTGTCTTTGTTCAGCTCCGGATTCAGAAAGAAGAATGATCTCCATCTAACCCTTTTGATGAACATTTCCGTTTTCTCGATCAGGCGCTTGAGGTATGTTGTTCTCGATGCTACCGGAATATTCTTCGTCGAATATTCAAAGTTCACTCTTTCCATTTTGAAGTGCGACGTCAGGAGAGTGCTCAACTATAAAAATAGGAGCTAGTATATCCAATGAAATCGTCTTCTATCACAATTCACAGTGCTCGATACATCTCTGTAGAGCTATAATCATGCAATAAATCAGAATACGAGTTAAACAAACTTTGGCATATCTCTCTTCTGAACAGACTGTTTCGTACCATAAGGCACTCATCAGCAGAATGACGAAAAATAGAATACAAGTAGCATCTTACCTTATTTCGAATCAAGCGCGCGCACGCGTTACGCGCGTTACGTCATTGAAGTTAGTACGCGTTTACGTCACTGAAGTAAGAACACATCTGTCTCGATGCCTGCACTTGGAGACGATTTCGCTTCTCTTATTCAGTGTACCTAGATCTGGCCTACATATGATTATGTACTTCTCTGCTATACACAAATTGCATCTCTTGTTTACGTTAGAGTATGGCAGTGCTTTCAGAACAATGTCCCATTTGATTTCATAGTCTTTCCCTTCGTCCTTTAAGTCCCATATATGTTTACTTAGCTCTGTTTGCGCCCTCTTGCTCTCGGATCTGAATGACTGCTTGTGGTTCGCCAATGAAATCGTCTTCTATCACAATTCACAGTGCTCGATACATCTCTGTAGAGCTATAAACATGCAATAAATTCAGAATATGAGTTAAACAAACTTTGGCATATCTCTCTTCTGAACAGACTGTTTCGTACCATAAGGCACTCATCAGCAGAATGACGAAAAATAGAATACAAGTAGCATCTTACCTTATTTCGAATCAAGCGCGCGCACGCGTTACGCGCGTTACGTCATTGAAGTTAGTACGCGTTTACGTCACTGAAGTAAGAACACATCTGTCTCGATGCCTGCACTTGGAGACGATTTCGCTTCTCTTATTCAGTGTACCTAGATCTGGCCTACATATGATTATGTACTTCTCTGCTATACACAAATTGCATCTCTTGTTTACGTTAGAGTATGGCAGTGCTTTCAGAACAATGTCCCATTTGATTTCATAGTCTTTCCCTTCGTCCTTTAAGTCCCATATATGTTTACTTAGCTCTGTTTGCGCCCTCTTGCTCTCGGATCTGAATGACTGCTTGTGGTTCGCCAGTCTCGCCTTGAAGGTTGTGGACGTCAGCCCGACGTATGCCTCCTTCTTGCCTTCGCTCGTGACGGTGGCCTGGTACACTATGTTCTTGCTGAGGCACTCCCCGTTCAGCGGGCATTCGGCATTGCGGGGGCAACTGCATGTTCTACCACCGACGTCGTCCTCTTGTTTTACCTTCTGTTTGTTGATTGACTGGATCGTTGCCTTCATATTCGGCATGCAGCTGTACGATAACTTTACTGTGTTCCGGTTGAGCACTTTGTGAAGCTTATGTTCCTTGGGGAAGCATTTGTCTATTATCTGAAGGAATTTCTTTCCAATGTTGGTACGTACGTTCTTGTTGTACGGCGGGTTGTACCATGTCACCTCCCTTTTTCTAGTCCTTTTCCTGGTGTTATTGCCCGGTGCGTATGTCAACCGGTACTTGTGCCCGCTTTTTTGCAGAGCCTCCTGGTAGGCCGGGGCAGCTTTCTCGAATGCCTCCTTGCTCGACGAGATGTTGGAGAGTCGCTTGTTGATTCCCTCTGGTATCTGTTTGATGACGGCGGGTGGATGGTTTGACTGGACATGTACATAGAGAGGTACATTACCTGGTTTCATGTATGGCTTGTACCCTCCCGTTCGCAGGTCTAATGTGATGTCAAGGAAGTTTACTGTTGCCTTGTTGGCTTCGATCGTTACCTTTAAG